TTCAAATGTTGCACCACCTCATGCAAATGATGATCAAACTAGAAACGCTGCTGCTTTAATCAAACGTTTTGACTTAAAAGATTTCTCAGTATTCCAATTTGCCAACCCTGGTATTTCGTTTTGCAAATCCTTCATTGAAAGTATTCTATCAATATTCAAGCTTTCATTTGTGTGTATTTTGTTTGTTCTGGTTGCTTATCGTATACTTGGCCATTAGTTTTTGCTTAAGTCAAATAGAGTAAGATTTTGGAGAGGCAGTTGGGTGTGGACTTTTGTTTCATGCTTGTCCTTTCTGGGTTTATAAACTGTCATATTCTCATGATGTGTGAATTGCCAATATGCTAGTTTCGTCATCTTGTCATGTGGAGTGGAATCTTAACTTCTGAACATGGGTATGTTAAATTGAAGTTGGGGAGCTTTCTCTTTTGAGCTGAATCGTAGCCACTGAAGTGTTCATTTTACTTCATGTATCCCACTCCCCTCCTTATATGTCTTCATCCATTCACCTGATTGGGCTGGAACCATCCCATCGTTTATAATCTCTGGGCCTTCCCAGCACAGAAGCATATTCCTGCAGAATATTCTTCTCTTCTTTCCCCTATCCTATAGGATGGGAATTCCTAGAAGAGGATATTTGGTGATTTTGTCATCAGTGGAGGAGCATGCGTGATACAGATCTATTTCAAAACAATGCAATATAATCATCTGATAGCATGAGGTCTTAAAGATATTCTTACCTTTAATTCTAGATTGGGAGTAATTGTCTGTGTTTTTGATATCCTTGTTGAGTTGTCTTTCTTTTTAATATAGCAAATGAATCATTACAAGAATGATTGAAATTTATAACTCAAACCGTGTTCTGGAAAACAGTCCTTGTTGAACAATTCTTTGGATGCTTAGGGGGAAATACACCTTCAATTGCTTAGTATAAATGTCTATAATATATATTAGTAATTAGTTGTACACATGTATTAGTGTGCCATTGTGTTTGGACTTTTGGAAGTTGACATCTTGGAGACCTCTTGTCCATCCCCTCAAATCGTGGCTTTTTGACAGTACCAAAATAGTACACTAATCTTTTTACTTTTGCTGTCATAATTTTTCTATAAGGTGCATAGTATGAAACAGAGATTTTTGCAGCCTTGCAGAGACACTATGCAGTACTGCAGGCCCTAGCTCTGGAGGAGGATGAGATACCAGAAATCAAAGATGAAACGGTGCCTGATGAGGAAGGCATGTCTAGGTAATGGAAAGTGTATGTTTGCATATCTGCCTGCTCTAATCTCTTGCTTCCCAGTAACTGAGCACTTACTGTTTTTGTTTTCTCCAGCACAATGTTCCTAACTTGATGTCTTTGCGTATATGGCTTTACAGACCTGCATTTGTTAGTGCATTAGAAGAATTTAAGCAGTCTGTTTATGGGGATAATTATGAAGAGGAAAACGATGCTGTGGGAAATGGAAAAGCAAGTGAGACCTCCAAAAAACGAAAAGCAGTTTCTGAAAATGCAGTTAAAGAGTCTGGTAACTATGATTGGGTTGACCTTGCAGACAACGGAAAGGTGAAACTGAAAATGGCTTTCCTGTACTTTAATAGTTGTGGTTTTTATCTCACCTTTTTAAGCCGAGACGGAAAAAGAACATCCAAAAGATAACGTTTAAATCCAAGAGTTTTCATCCTGTTGATGTTAGCATGGATAATTTTTTTTCGAGGATGCTAATCACTTCTGATACGATCCTTGTTTTGCAGTTAAAGGATTTGACTGTTATGCAGTTGAAGTACTATTTGACAGCAAATAATCTTCCACTTGCTGGAAAGAAGGAAGCTTTGATCAGTCGAATTTTGACACACATGGGGAAATGACCAAGGCCAACTAAATATCTTCTTTGCAAGATCGAAAGCTGTGTTGCTACCTTTCTGATGAATGGTACGTTGTGATCACCAGGGGTTTATGTACTTACAGGTGTGGATGAAGATCACCAGGGATTTTGAAAGGTGAAGGCTCAATTTCGTGGTGACGACAGTTTACTCATTGAATCATGTTGACAGTCAACAACCAACTCACAAATGCATTACAAATGAGCTGTTTCTCATCATGAAAACATGATGCAAATTTCACTTCACCATTGTATGTATGAAAAATTTGTTCATTTTCATCTTTAATGATAAGAATTGGAAACTTTTCAAGTAACTTAAATCTCAAGTAGACCTTCACATTTTCACTCGTTATAGTGAAGGAAACGAACCAACAGATTTGTTCATTTTGAGGATTCGAGTGAATTCAAATCCGGAAAATTATGAAAAATAACTTTTTAAATTCACCATTGAAGAAGTGTAACTAGGAAGTCAAACTGAAAGAAGAATGTTGCATCTTGGGACTTTTAATGTGATACGATATGTGTATGCCTATCGAAGGGTGAATTTTCCTTGAATCTGTTAATCTTTTACTTCGTCTATCTCAAATATAACACTAACTAGCTATTGTTCTCTTTATTATCACTTATTTTGCAACGAGTCTCAAGTTTGAATCTCCGTCCTGTCTATCCCAAATGTTGACTAGCTATTGATATATAGTTCTATTGTCAATGGGATGTAGCCCAGTAGACGCCTAGTAGAAAAAGGTCGTGACTTGTAGACTAGTGATCTTAGGTTTAAATCCTGATAGCACTTTGGTAGTGTGTGTGAGAAAACCCCTTGCATTTCCTAACTTTGGCAAAAGAAGATATATATAATTCTATTTATCATTTGCTATTGCAATATATTTGTTACTAACAAGAAACCAATAAAAAGAAAGGCAGACCAGAAGAGATGTGAGTTATTTGTAAGGGAAGGGAAAACAGACTGCTATGTTCAACTTTTGGAAACGAATGGAAAATTCAAAAATTGGTAGGGGGGGCCTTTGGTCAAACGAAATATCCACAGTATCATTCATGCTTATGTTGAGCAAATATAAATGATTTAAATTAATCATTTCACAAAATTCTCTGAACGTGGCGAGTATTGTTCTTCTTTCAACTGCAATGCCAAACTATCCAACATTGCATATATAAGCAAGCCTTCAGGATGACCCCTATCTTCGACTGTAAATACATGAGGTTTCCCATTAACATGAAGAAGGCTTTGTCCTGGAATTTTTTTTACTTTCTTAAATTTCATAGCTGTCCTTAATGCAGCAACTTCACCCCACCTTCTCTCTGATGCATATATGTTCGCCATCTCCACAAATGGAACTGCACCCTGGGGCTCCAACTCAAATAGACGGCGACATGCATATTCCCCGATCTCTACGTTACGGTGAATCTTGCAAGCACTAAGTAATGCACCCCATATGCGAGCATCGGGTTTCATCGGCATACTTTTCACAAGCTCCGTTGCTTCTTCCAACCTTCCTTTACGCCCAAGGAGATCCGCCATACAGGAATAGTGGTCCACCCCGGGATTTATCTTGTAAACTTTTTTCATCATGTCAAAGAACTCCATTCCTTTCTCAAGAAGACCTGCATGAGTGCAAGCTTGAAGAATGGCAAGAAAAGTTAAGTGGTTTGGTTTCAAGTCCAAATCCACCATCAGGCAGAAAAGGTCCAGAGCTTCTTCGTAGTTGCCATTCAAAGCAAAGCCTGCGATCATAGTTGTCCAGGAAACAACAGTTCTCACTGGCAAGACATAGAAGAGCTCTCGAGCACTGTTAATATTTCCACATTTTGCATACATGTCAATTAATGCATTGCAGACTACGATGCTGTCTCTTAAACCGTTAGAAAAGGCATAGTTATGAATCCATTTTCCAAGCTCAAGTGCTCCTGTTTGGCCGCAACCTGAAACCAGAGAAAGCACAGTAACCAAATCAGGTTTCTCGCCAGCTGCTTCCATAGCATGAAACAATCTTAGCGCCTCATTCAAATCTCCTTTATCAGCATACCCGCTGATCATAGCGGTCCATGAAACACAAGTTCTATTTGACATGCCATCAAATAAAAATCTAGAAGAAAGTATATCACCACACCTGGAATACATTGATATAAGGGCATTGACAACAAAAATGTCAGAATCACAGCCCATTTGAATTCCATGACAATGAATCAGCACCCCCTGTAGCAATTTATCAGGTTGAATGCATGAAGAAAGGAGGCTCACAATTGTGCTTATATCAGGCCTATATCCATCACAGAGCATCCATTTGTAAAAATTTAGAGCATCAAGAAATTTCTCTAAGTTTGCATATCCTGCAATCATTGAATTCCATGAGACAACAGTCCTCGCGCCAATTTCAATCCCATTAAAGACAGCCATGGCCGAACTTAAGTCATCGCATTTGGAATAGGCAGAGATCCAAGTGTTAGCCATTGAAACATCTCCATCTATCCCAATCTGAATTCCAAATGCATGAATGGCTTTCACCAGTGCCAAATTCTTTGTCTCCAAACTTGCCTGAGTCAACCCAATAACCGTGATGGTATCAGGCAGAATTCGTGCAAACCTCATCTCATGGAACAAGCGCAGCACTTTATCAAGAAATCCCAATTGCGCAAAACCCATAAGCATCACATTCCAGCAAGCCACGTCTCTCATGGGAATTCTCTCAAACAGAATGTAGGCATCAGCCAACCGATCACACTTGACATACATATCGAGCATTGCTGTTTGCACAAAGATATCTGACCGAAATGGTGATTTTAAAACATTGGTGTGAATAATTTGGGAGAATTTGAGGTTGGAGAGCTTGGCACATGCTTTAGCCAAGAAGGGAAAGGTGAAGTTGTTAGGTTCCAAACCATTTTGTTTCATTTGGAAAAAGAGGAGGAGGGCTTTGTGGGGATGGCTTTGGTTCACAGATTCTCTTATAGCAGAGTTCCATCCAACAATGGTTGAGAATTTTGAAAGAAGGACCATTTATCATTGTCTCTTCAAATCTAACTTAATATTGACAACCATCAGTTTTACATATGCCTTGAAACTGCCACGTAAGCATCATCAACTTCGGGGATGCATCCAACTCTATTCTAAGTCTCAACAGCAGTTCCAGAATTCACAGACAAACAAAGAGAGAATGTTGGAAACACCGTATAAAGATGACGGCGACTCCAGGCCAAGGCACCAGAAGAGAGGTGGTCGGAAACCCTAGCGACGAAGTCAGCAGAGAGCGAGGCAGCGGCTGAATCGCAGAGAACGGAAATGAGATGGACGACTTGTCGTGCGATGGGGTCGTCGTCGAGCATGAACGAGAGGCGAGACGAGGAAGTGAGGGTGGAAGCAGGGCTACCGCCAGGGGCGCTTTTAATTTTTACAGCCCAAAGTAAATTTTTAGCCCGCCCCAAGCCTACTCGCACAGCAGCTACCTTCACGAATTGTCTGTCTGTGTTGATGTTGTTAGCTTTGGTTGGCATGTTTCGGTTGCTTTAGCTTAGCTGGCATGTTTCGGTTGTTTGCTCCTATATTCATTCTATCAACATGTTCTTTGTTGTTGTCTTCATATTATTTTCTCCCTCAATTTGTTGTTATTGAAATTTGAGGATTTTTTTTAGGGTTTATAAAGTATCAGATTTTATTTTTTTTATGAAATTGAGAATCCCTAATTGATACTTTATAAACCCTAAAAAAATTAGGGATTTGCAATTGAGTATTATAAATTATCAATTGATTATATGAATGATGAATTATTAATCAGGGATTAGGTGAATTAATTAATTGCTAATATGTTGGGTTGCTCTCTCGTTCACGAGAGGAGAGCCTTGATGGCTAGGGTTAGGGTTTCTCCAGTTTTCTTTACTCATTCTCTGCGCCTTCTCTCTCAGTCTTCTCTGATTGTCTCTTTAGGTTCTTCTTGGTGAATTGGGTATGACTTTTTTGTTGTTGTTGTTGTTGCTCTTTTGTTCTTCGTGGGGTGACTACGTTAGCTTCCTTTTTAGGTTCCTAAGGAGCCAGGCGCTGGTGAGGGGTCTCCATCTTAAAGCTATGGAGGTGGCCACCGCTCTTCTGCTCAAGGGGATGACAATTATGCTCCACAAAGCGGGAATTAGAAGCAAGCGAAAACTAGTGTTGGGCATTTGATTGTTAGTGACATGAACTTTTCTGGTAAGCATAGTTTTTGTATCGATGACAATGCGGAGGAGACCAGCCTCGAGGGGTCTCCAAGATCTCCCTAATAACTCTCATATGGAACGTTCGTAGGCCTGGCAACCGATGAACGTTCCTACTTTTGCAGATATTTCTTCAAAATTTCTTCAGGCTAAGAGGCCAATCTTGGTCTCCTTTGCTTGTCAGTTGGGGTTCTGGATCAAGAAAATTAGAGGTGGCGGTTGGTGTTTGGCTGGATCTGTTATGATGCTCACAATACATTTTTGACTTTGTATGAAGAATTATGATGCTTTCTTTAGATCATATGAGGCTTTCTTTGATAGTATATGCGTAGTGATGGGATGTGATTCAATGGTTTTGCAGTTGGGTGATTAGCTGGATCTATTCTGATACCCATAGTACATTTTTGACTCTGTACAAAGAACTATGATGCTTTTTCTAGATCATAAGAGGACTTCTTTGATAGTACCTACGTAGTGATGAGATGTTGTTTTAAGGGTTTTGTGGTTGGGTTTTAGGTTGGTTTGTTTCGTATAAGTTGTTTGACTTTTCTGTTTAGTCAATAGCATGAGTGGTTCTCTTTCCTATCCCGGGATTTTGTTTCTCTGTGAATGTCTTAACGAGGCCACTGTTAACATGCTAGTTCTTACCATGTAATGTTCATTTCGGTTTAATGAAATACCATCTTTTCTCAAAAAAACTTAATTGCTAACTGAAAGGAACATTACCATTTCTTCTATTATTCTTCAATAGGTTATATATTTAAAATGTCGGGTCAACATCAAAATCCTAAGAGATTAAAGACTCTTCGGGATTTTTAAAAAAGGTTATATTCTTCATTGCATGTTTAGTTCTTCGTGTTTGTTTGTTTGTTTGTTTTTTTAGTTTACTAGTTTCAATGAGGGTTGGTTACGGTACGGTAACTACAAATTTTTGTGGAAACAGCAAACCGCCCAATAACTCGCGATATTGCATAATTTGATATCATAACCGGCTGAATAATTGCAGTTCACCGCAACTCGATGGAACCGCAAACGCGGTCGGTGTCCGCAAAAAAAAGGGTACCTACCGATTGGGTCGAGTAATTTTTTGGTGTTCCGGATACACCACGTGGCTGGTGTACCATCCAATAGACGGAAGACATATGGAATATTTGCAATGCAGCCCGCCACATATTATAAAAAGAAATGCAGTAAGTTAGACAATAATTCCACATGTCCTATGTTTATTGGATGGTACACCAGCCACATGGTGTACCTGGAACATATAAAAATTTCTCGATTGGGTCGTGTCAACCAAAACAATCCAAGCAACCCCAAACAATCCAAGCACCCGCAAACAATCCAAGCAACCCCAAAATCCCAAGCCTTCTAACCAAGAACCCCCTGTTAGCCATCAACCATAAACCACTACCCACCATCCATAAACCACCACAAAGAGAGAGAGAGAGAGGAAAAAGAAGAGAGATTAGAGAGAGAAGAAAGAAGAATCCATGGAGAGAGAAGCTTGAAATCGAGGAAGAGATAGGCTGAGACGGGGAGAGCAAGATAAGATGAGTTGTTGAAAAGAGAGAGTGAGGCACTTGGTTTTGATAAGGAGAGAGTGAAACACTGAGGGCATGTTTACGTATCAGTAATGGGTATGGAAGGAAAGTGAATGATTTCTATTCCTGACTTCTCCTACATTTACTTGCAATCAGGAGTGAAAAAATAAGTGGGGCCCACCTCAAAATCCGTAATCACATTCCCTCAAAACTAGGAATCAGATCAACTAGGGGAGAGTAGTCGATACGATTCCCATTCCTGTTTTCTCTTAATAATTTCCAAAAATACCCTTATCACTTTACCATAATTCTAAAATTAATTTGGATTATGATTCATGAAAATTAGTAAACAATAACAATGGGAATCAATCTCATTCCATTGCTAATTCCATATGTTTAGTAAAAAGCTTAATGGGAATGATTCTTCCCATACCGATTCAGTAGTTCTTCGATTCCTAAATTCTTTGATTCCTTAGTTTCTCCATTACTGATACGTAAACATGCCCTGAGATGAAAATGAAGGAGTTTTTAAAAATATTGATGTCAAACTATAATTTTATGTATAATATTTTAGTGTTTTTTGGACTTGTATTGTAGGCAAGTCCACGTGAATGAATATGCCTTTGTTTGACAAAGCCACGTGAAGAATGGTTGGCTTTGATTGACACAAAGAGAAAGAAGAGGGAGAGAGACACATAATATATACACGCGGTCGGTATTCAAAACCGCAGCCACATACTGCATATTGCGGTAGGTACAAAACCGCAAATTGCGGTTGGTATTTCACAATGAGCGGTTCACTTTTGGTATATTTGCGGTTGGTTTTCGCGGTTTTGCGGTACTCCAGTGCAAAATGCTAGCCCTAGTTTCAATCTATGTACTAGATGCATTTTGAGGGGTAATGCTCATTATGTTCCTCCGACTAGGTGTAATATTTTGGTTATCAATAAAATTCACTCGTATTATCGAGTTTTCTTTCTTCTTATTAAGTTTTGTATGTAAGGTAAATTTAGCCGCCTCAATTTGGAATCCTGGGTTCTTATAACAGCAGTGTTTGAAACTGACACATTCTTAAATGTCTTAATAGGGAAGGTCTAATGCTACATTTCGTGATGCAATCACAAGACACTCAAGGTGCCTTTCTTGCTGCTCCTGGATGAAAGAGAGTAACCTTTAAAGAAGCATGAAAGATGAGTTGATTAATTTCACAGATATTTAACTAATTTAGGAAAGGAGTAGAAGAAAAAAGTAAAAGTTTTTGAAGATAGAACCCAATAGCATCACCATGCATGCTTCATTTAAAGAGGGAAAAACCATGAACCAGTTCAAACTTGTATACATGCAACTAAACTGGAAATAGGAAATATATCCAACCAAATTCAGAGACCCACAGTACACAATTGAATAACCACAAAACAGAACCATTTAGTCAGCTGTGCTATGCCCCCACCAAAGGCACATTGGATCCCTAAGCTTAGAGAGGTGAAAGAACTATTACTATAATGCTCATGAATAAGTCCTTATGGAAGTCTCTTGAGATTTCCGGATTGATGGATTCTAAATTTACAGCCAAAGTAAAACTCAACTCAGAAAGTCAGACTGCTGTGCTGCGTTCGAAACTTGGAAGAGAAGACTGGAAGTGGAGAGGAAGTAGAGGGTGGCTGCGTGAGTGAGTGATGGTAAGCGGGTCAGGGGCAAAGGACTACGCCGCTGTGCTGTGTTTCAAATTTCGAAGAGAAAACTGTGAAAGTGGAGAGGAAGTAGAGGGTGGCTGCGTGAGTGAGTGATGGTAAGCGGGTCAGGGGCAAAGGACTACGCCGCTGTGCTGTGTTTCAAATTTCGAAGAGAAAACTGTGAAATGTGCTTCGGCTTGGGCTTGCATGTAAATTTCATGAACTATTATTTCTCCTTAAAAACTTACTCAGCATGAATGTTTGATTGCATTGGCTAAAGGGCTTTTGTTTAATAAGAGTTTATTTACGTTGGCACCTAAAGCTTTTTAATGTTTTAAATTGTTTTTACAAGTTCTTTCTTGTTAATTTTCGGTTAAAAAAATTACTTATATCATTAAAAGATTTCTCCAAATGACAAAGCTAATTCAAAAATTACTTATATCACTTTTAAATAATGATGAGAAATTTGTCTTATGTTTGGCAATTGCCTTTGATACTCAAAAAAAGAAAAAGAAAAAAGAAGCCAAAAATCTGCTTTACCATCAATTGCTGAATCGATAATCATCAATTGCCAGATTGATATATGTCAATAGCCTATTTTGTGAACCGACTGCTTGATTGGCAATTGCAAAACTCATGGTTTTATAAGGTTTGGGAATGTTCATGTCCCAAAAGATGTAACATGGGTCCGTAATGTTGTAAACCCTTGTTTTTACAATAATAAGGAGCAATTTTACTTGTTCAAGGCCCAACAATTCTTGAATATTGTAATTGAGATCCTTTTTTATTGTAAATTAGGCTATTACAATATTATCGATCAAATTGAACCTTAACGTTGTAATAACGATGCCAAATCTCATAAATTTGAACCTGAATATTGTAATCTACAAGATTAGGGATAAACTTTACAATATTATGGAACACTAATGTGCCCAACACTATAATATGAGTCATTGATGTTGTAAACCCATATTTTAACAAGATTAGAGATAAAACTTTACAATATTATGGAATGCTTAAATCCTAAACACTATAACCTAAGTGCTTAATGTTGTAAGCCCTTGTTTTTACAATATTAGAGAAATAAACTTTACAACGTTATGGAACTCTCATGTCCCAAAAAGTATTCCTGAATGTTGTAAACCATTGTTTTTACAAGATTAGGGATCAACTTTACAATGTTATGGACCTCACATGGCCCAACTATGATAAAATGAGTACTTAATTTTGTAAATCCTTGTTTTTACAAGAATAAGGAACCCTTTTACGGCATTATGGTACCCTCGGTGCTTAAACTTGTAACAAAATTGTTTACTAGAATAAGGACCCATTTTACATTGGTAAGGTCCACCATTACCAAATCCTTGTATTGGGGATCCATATCCTTGTAAACTTATGATTTACAAGAATAAGGAACAATTTTGCTTGTTTAAGGTCCAACCAAACCTTAATATTTTAATTGATATCCTTTCCATTGTAAATTAGGCTATTACAATATTGTGCATTAAAGTGAACCTTAACGTGGTAACCACAATACAAACTCTAGTAAATTCAAATCCAAATCTTGTAATTTACAAGATTAAGGATAGACTTTACAATGTTATGGAACATTAATGTGCCAAACATTGCAACATGAGTCCTTAATATTGTAAACCCTTGTTTTTACAACATTATGAATAAACTTTACAATGGTATGAAACTCTCATGCCCTAAACACTGCAATATGACTCATTAATCTTCCAAAACCCCTTGTTTTACAATATTATGGATAAACTTTATAAGGTTTGGGAATTCTCATGTCCCAAACGCTGTAACATGAGTCCTTAATGTTATAAATCCTAGGTTTTACAAGGATATAGATCAAAGTGAACCTTAAAGTTGTAATAACGATGCAAAATCTTGTAAATTCGAACTCGGATCTTGTAACCTATAAGATTAGGGATAAATGTTACAATGTTATGGAACGTTTAGAGGTCATTTGGCAATCGCCAATCGGTCGGTCGGCATTTGCAAAGTGAAATGGCCATTACATATTGTCTATTTGTCGATTGCATTGTCATCGAGAATGTGCACCTTCATTACAACGTTAAGGTCCACCCTAATCCTTAATATTGGAATACCATAATTTACAAAGCAATGGACCCCTATTACAACGTTAAGGTGAGAGTGGACCTTGGAGGAGTATAATTGGTCCTTAGGCTTGTAAACACAAGGGTATACAACACTAAGGACCACATTTACATTATGATGGACATAGGCCTCCATAACCTTGTAAACTTCCTTAATTTTGTAAGTTACAATATTTGGGTTCTCATTTATGAGACTTTGTAGCTCATTACAATATTATGGTCCAACATAATCCATAACATTGTAATACCCTAGTTTACAAAGAAAATGACACATAGTAACAAGGTCAGAATGGACCTTGGAGGAGTAAAATTGTAAACACAACTGAAAATCTTTTAATATACGAGAAAACTTGTAAATTTTCTACTTTTCTACTTGTTTTTCTTGTCTTTTAATCATAACAATGTACTATAAAATCCATGACCATGTTAGGAAAAAAATATAAATTTATAATACTTTTAGGATGTCTACGAAAGTACAACCATGTAAATGCAACAATTAATATAGTTCTTATTTTAGAAATTGATTTTATAAATGCAATTGGATATGCAATAAGGTATACAATTGCATTGTTCTCTTCAACCAATTACATAGACAAAACTCGAGGTGAAATTTTTTGATAAATAAAGACTTTCTAACTCTCAAATAAATGTTGATGCGCATTCACCAATTCTATGAAACAAAAGAAACAAAAATTAAAACTGTCAATCTCAATTGTTTTTTAAAAACTAAGCATAATAAAATGCAGAGGAATTAACCACAACTAGCCATTATAATTCACATAAATAAAACCAGCAACTCATAATGAAATTGAATAAAGCTACAATGACGTGACATATCGAAATAAGAAAAGGAAAGAAAAAAAAGAGAGAGTATAAAATGGTTCTCATAAAAAAAAGAGTATAAAATGGTAACTTTATATTTATAAAAGTAAACAAATGCCATTGTGAAATTTATAAGCATGTCATCGTGGGTCAAATAAAATAAACTCAATTGAAAAATAAAATGTCAAATCATATTCCACTTACCAAACAAGGAGGCCATAATTGCATGACAATTATGCAATTGCATTTGCATTAAATATTAATAAAAGTGGAAACTTGACAACTTGTATAACCGGTAATCACTTTTAAAAAAAATCTGAGCGCATCAGTGCACCTAGTGCACTATTGACGTTGCCCTCTTGACAATTCAATTTTGGAAAGGCCCCATGCATTTCATGATCTATATTGTCATAACAACCATGCAATGCAGATTTGACTTTTGAAGTACGCATATGCCTCCAGGTCCGCGGTCACCCCCCTGAATTAGTCAATTTGAGCAGCTTCATCCCCACCACTAACCAAATTGTCCTCCACTCAACTCGTTTAACAACCAAGCATCTCTTCAATCTTAAAGAGGCGTTGGATTTTTCCTAGCTTCTTTTTCCTTTACTTCTTATTAATTCTTAATTAATTTCTTTTTTGTCATTCATTAAGAAGAAGAATGAGAGGAGTATTATATGAGATTGCCTCAAAATTGTCTCTTACGTCAATCGAATTCGGGAATAATTGGAGGGGAGAGAGAGAATTTGGCCCACATTCTGTTGTGGTGTCACCCCATGTGCTAATTCTTAATTAATTTTTAATCTCTTTTAAGCTGTTAGTTGCGTTGATACGCTTCCACATCTGTCATGCTAACTTTTTCTATTGGAGAATCCTGGTATCATATATCATGCTTTTCGATTGAATAGTGTTCTCTTTTGCCGTCAATTTTCTAGAATAGCTGTATTTGCAATGAGTTGACATCATCAACTTTTCTTAAGGATGAGTGACATCATCAATTTTTATTTGTTTTTCCAAAAAGAAAAACAAACCTATATGAACTCACAACCTTATTTCGGAGACAACAAGCACCATATCACAGAAAACGTATATTCACATACATACATATATATTTATATGCATATATTTTCCTTTCCAACTACATTCATGTACAAACAGGTGGAGAGAGTACTTAGCTTTTAGCTTTGATATGTAAGTTTTGAATTTATTTATTTAAAGTTTCAAATTAGTATTTTACATTTAGAGTTCCCAACCTTACAATTCTAGCTCGCCTGGAAATGATATGAATATCCTGAAGGGGAGTATAATATATTTCTTTATATTTAAATTTTTGGTCATTGTAGCTTACTTTAATTTCCAATCAGAAAAGTGATTAATAAGTAGAAGAACAATATATGGTTTATAATGAAAGAAGAAAGAATAATATAGTCCGCAGCGGCATAACACCTCATTACGAAGGGTGGCTCTTCTTTTTGAATGCAACTTTGCACCAAACATTAAGATTTAAGAAGAATTATTTGAAGATACTGCTTTGAATTCATCAGCCATTTTGTTGGATGTAACTTAATAATCGTGTACGCTTTGCTACCAATAATAGCGTGCACTGATTAGTGATTACTTAACCAGCAAGGATTCTTATATGGCACGCAAACACACAAAAACATTTTTCGGAAAATAAATTTTTATGTACTTTAGTGATCTATATCTCGATAATTCATATATATATATATATATAAATTCTTCTATGCGGACGTCCGGACATTATTATCGTGCGAACGCTATGTATATTCTATTACTCCTTTGAACTTTTCTCCCAGTTTACAATAGTATCCACATGGTTATTAGATGAGAGAATAAGTGAGTGTATATATAAAGCTTGATTTGATCCATTACTTTTCAATGTCTAAAGCTCTGTCCTTTTGGAAGTAGAGCTTGGCATAGTCACATTTGGAAGTATATACCAAACCAAACTTATTTCTTTTAACTCACCATAGATTATTTCAATCTTTTTATCTTAAAAAGTCTTCGTGCAAATTTCAAGTATGCCCCAAATTATACACAAATCACAAATTTAGATTTACGTAGAATACCAATCAACGAATTATTTAAAGACCTAAGATCTAAAGACAGTAGGGCATTTCCTAATATCACAACAGATAAAAAACAAAAGTGTGAGAGTGAGAACATTATAATTTGTAATGTGAGTGTGACAATAACACAACATTATATGAAAATTATAATACATGTACATCAAATTATTAATTTGTAAACTAAATATAAATTAAGATGGTCTCTAATTTGCGCGCGCGTGCAATTGTAACGCTACGTCAGCATCCCACGTCATCTTCACACTTCAAAATTATTGCGAGAACGCCAACTTAGAAGATGCTTTAATTAAGCTGATCATCTCAAAGACTTCTTATAAAATATTTTTTTTTGGTTCGGCTTTGAGTATACAAACTGAAGAGAACATTAAAAGATGACAACGGGAAAGGATAATATGCTTCTATCTTTAGAAAAGCCATAAAGTTGGTTGGGCCAGTGGAAATTTCGCTTCTACTTAACTTTGGGCAAAGCAGTTTGGTTAGCTTTCCTTTTTCTTTTTTTTTGGTTAGCTTTCCTTATCAATCATGATTATTATTATTTTTTAATTCTTATGCATGGATTGATCTAATAACGACGTGGACGTAGGAGTGATAGGAAATCTAGGCAGCTGGCAGGATGCCAGCCTGCACAATCTGCTTTGGTCTCGGGTCCTTTGCCAACATATGCATATGGTTTTAATTCCTTATTGTGTAACAAAGTAATCAATCAGTGTAAACTAGAAGTACTTGATAAATGCAAACATTTGATCAGTTGGTTAAGGTAGTATACTCCGCTTGTATTTGCGTTTGATCCCTCTTATACAAGGACGGTTTCTCAGTACGTATAGCCCAGGTTCTGGGGGATTGAATAAAATCTCTAATACAACCCACCCGAGCCTACCCATATATATAGCACCCCTTCACACGTAACACCTTCACATAAGGTAAATGTCCGTCCCTGTCCCTACATATTGGTTTTTGCCTCTTCTACTACACGGTTATAATAAAATATAAGTTCTCACTAAATTTGGCCAAAAATAGTCGTCACAAATGTAAATGAAACTGATACACACATAAATTAGTCTATTGTCTATAATTAACTGGCTCCCAACTTGTACCTAGGGACCCAAATTTAAGATAATTAGGTTGCCTTTAAACAAATATTGGAAGTGAGTGCAATAATGTTGGCAGTATAATGACATATATTACTCTGTTATAACATCCAAAGCTCCCTTTATTCCCTTAAAAGTCATAAGGTGACATGAAAGCTGAGGCCCTTATATACTCAAGTAATCAAGCTAAGTGCTAGCTCATACCCCTCTCTCTCTCTAGATCCCTTCTCTTTATTCTCTGTTCTGTGTCTTTCTCTCTCTGTTTAGCATGTTGGCTATACTTTCCTCCCATGGAGGACACAGAAGAGCACACACTCTCTTTCTACCTTTGTTCTTGACCATAGAAATTTTATCCTTCTCAAGCTTATTAGCAGAAGCTAACCAAGCTTCTTCACCATCCCATTTCTCCAAATTCTCTCGAGGAGGACCCTCCAAAGAAGCCAACAATAATATTCCATCGTTTTGCAAACATACTCCTCACCAAGCAGCTTGTGAATCTATTTTCATCTCCTCATCATCCAAAACAAGTACTACTTATAAAGAAGCCCCTCAAACCCTTGAAAATCTCTTTGTCCAGTCAGTCGACTTCAGCATAATTAAGGCTCATTTGGCTCGAGCCCTTGCCTATAACTTCACCATTTCCCATCGTCAAAATGCTCACCAACCCCACTTGCCTGGTGGCATCAACGACTGCCTTGAGCTGCTCGAGGACAGTATCTATTCACTCGATAATGTCATACGCAAGCACGACAAAAGTACTAAGAGCAGCACCTATGGCCATGTTGACGATGATGTCCAAACCTGGCTCAGTGCTGCTCTTACCAATCAAGAAACTTGTCTGGAGAGCCTTGAGAATGACAAGTCTAAGGTAGACAAGGGCCTCATGGAGACTTCAGCTAAGAACTTGAGCCAATTCATAAGCAACTCCCTATCACTTTTCATGATGACTAGTAGAGCTAAATACACAAACCCTAATGTTGTCGGCGGCCGGAGGCTGTTGTCGGATGATTTTCCGACATGGGTCTCAGGCACGGAGAGGAAGCTTCTAGAAGCTTCTGTGGATGAATTGGAAGCACATGCTGTGGTGGCTTTGGATGGGAGTGGCACGCACAAAAGTATTGGTGAGGCACTTGGGCTAGTGGCCTCATTGGAGGAGAGTGGTACAACTGGAGGCAGATCTGTAATTCACGTAAAAGCCGGGACTTATAATGAATACATAAACATACCCACCAAGCAGAAGAACGTTATGTTAATTGGTGATGGATTGGGGAAGACTGTTATTGTGGGCAGTAGGAGTTCGGAAGCTGGTTGGACAACTTACCAGTCTGCCACTGTGGGTAAGAATTTATATATGAGTTTCCGTCCTCTTTAATTAGGGGTATTTTAGGAATTAAAATGGCTTTTAGGGGTCCATCGATAGGAGAAATTATAGGATACTATGGTAGTACGGTCATATGTTACATTTTGTACACGTGTTATAATATGGGTGGACGACATTATTTATTTTCCCCCCTTTTAGAGAATAATATCTATAAATATCTACTTATATTATAACACATATATAAAATATACCACGCAACTATATTACCGCAGTATTCTATAATCTCTCCATCAATAGGTTGAGTATGCTATTCTTTCTTTAAAAGTTTTTATGAGAGGTGGGCGAAATATAAAGTGGGTTGATGAGAAAAACAACAAACCAAAAAAGTAATTAAAATCATATAAAAAAGGGTTTGTATTGCTACTTCATATAAAACGAATAAATTTTCATAAATTAGTGGATATGGTTTAAATGAATTAATACTGTTAAACTAATTACTAATCAATAATGTTATTTGTACTACATTTATTAAACACATTATTGACTACCTCTCTAATAGAGGTGGACCCCACTAGTGTATGTGAGCCCCACATGTATTAGAAAGATAGTTAACATTGTGGTCAGTAAATATGGTCCAAATAGTAACAACTTTATTAGGGTTTTAGTTCTTTGCTATGATAGTATGACAACAAAATATACTCTTATTTTACCTTTTCAATTTATTTACTATATACCTTTTTGGCAAATAAATTTTATTACACTCAAGTAGTTTATCTACTGCGTATTGAAATGGATTTACCTCTAACTATCAAACAATTTGCTCCTTAAATATTTATATTCCTCAACACAAGGGGGCAAAAATGATGATAAATTTGGACATGTTGTACTTCAAATTAATGACATACAAATTTGGATTTCAGCTGCTATGGGTGATGGATTTATAGCACGCGACATAACATTTGTGAATAGCGCCGGCCCTGCAAAGGAACAAGCTGTTGCTCTCCGAGTTGGTGCAGACAAGTCAGTGATTTTCAGATGCTCCATAGTTGGCTACCAAGACACCCTCTACACTCACTCCAAGCGCCAGTTCTACAGAGAAACCCAAATCTATGGAACTGTCGATTTCATATTCGGAAACTCAGCTGTGGTTTTCCAAAACTGCAACATATTTGCAAGAAAGCCTGCATCATCTGGCCTCAAAAACTTCGTCACAGCACAAGGCAGAAGCAGCCCAGATCAAAACACAGGCATTTCAATCCATAACTGCAAAATATCAGCTGCATCAGATCTTGCTCCAGTCAAATCCAATTATGAGACATATCTTGGGAGGCCATGGAAGCAGTATTCTAGAACAGTTGTTATGCAGTCTTTTTTGGATGACTCAATAAATAGAGCTGGGTGGTCTCCTTGGGCAGGTGGGTCTGCCTCAAAGACTTTGTATTATGGTGAGTACTTGAATTTTGGGCCTGGGGCTTCAACTTCAGGTAGGGTTCAGTGGCCTGGATACCATGCTTCAATTACAACAACTGAAGCTCAAGGTTTTACTGTTGGTGGTTTCATTTCTGGGAACCTTTGGTTGCCTTCCACCGGGGTGTCTTTCGATTCAGGATTGATTAGCTGAAGGGTAGCGATTTTGGCACTCCTCGTTCAACTTCTAGCATTACCATTGCGACAGTACAAAAATGATAAAATACTCAGTTTGGAGTGCCGAAGCTAAATTATTAGGAGTGACAATCACTACTCTTATGTGAATTGTGCATTAATATAAGCTCCCATTTGTATTTTGTTAGCTGTGGTGTGAAAGGTTTGGTTACTTATTGATTGTAGTAGAATTGTATGGTGATAGGGCTGGTGTGGATTGGCCTAGGATTGTGGGGTCTTAGTGATTTGGGCCTCCTTGAAACAAAGGAAAAAAGCAAACCCACAATGTTAAAAAATTAAGACTCCTTGTTCATGTTTATTTTTAATTAGCCATGTTAATCCAATTTCAATTTCTTTTTCTTTTCTTTCCTTAACTTAACGTTGTGTATCATTATTTGTCTATTCACTAATTTTTCTCTCCTATTATCATTTTCTCACCATTCGTCTCCTCCTTACCATTGCCTCCATCCAAGGATGGCACATCTCCATCAATTTGACATTAGCATGTTGATGAAGATGTCTGCATGTCTCTTTCTCCTGGTTTCGAACGAATGGGGGAGCGTGGTTCGACGAAGAACATTTTCCATGAACAAACAAAGCACATTAAAATTGATTGGTGCTATGTCATGATTAGAACTTCTCATATTTCCAACACTTGATCAGTCAGTTGTTCACCAAATATTTGAGTTTGTCACAATTTGAGACTTCACTTAGAAAGTTGGGTGTCTTTAATTTAAACTGATCAAGAAGTCACCAAACATTGATGTAGGATGAAAGAAACGAAAAGAAAAAACAACTTTTGTGAATTGTGTTCTAGACAAGCAGCAGAGGCTGCCGACATCGGATTTAAGGAAAAGATTAAATGTAACACAAACACAAAAGCATTAATTGATAAGCAAGTAATGAAGATTAGATTAGAGAAAAAGAAAGGAAGGTTCTCTCATTAGACAAGTGGGTAAGTGAGCCATGTGCTATCATGTGGTGGTTGGCCCTTCGGTGGGTCCACAACCGCACTTCTCCAACCTCCTATTCCTTCAAATTGAAAGCTACAAACAGAAATGGGCAAAACCATACATAGCACCGAAAACCCCACGCGACTCATTCACTGGCTTAGTTTACAAATATGCCCTTCTTTATACAATAGCCTCTCTCTTTTAGAATTTTTTTTTTTAATAAAATAATTTCTTCACTTATAGTGTGTTTATTAATCATGAATTGAATTTCGTCTATGAAGGATTCCTACATTTACTTCATATCAAGAAAATAAATTAAAAAGTAAGTGGGGCCCATGTAAATTAGGAATTCAATTCCTGATTTTGGAGGAATTCAATTCTTGGGTGGGAGGTGGTATTTTAATTCATGGATACTAACCAATTAGGAATTTATCTTTTTTACCCATTATATCCTCACACAATTTTAAAAATCTCCAAATTTGCCATATATTTTAACCCAACAACGAATACATTTTAGTAATTAGTACCACTTCTATCCCAATTCCATACGGTTTAGTAAACAACTTCAATTAGAATCCAAAATTTAACTCTCCTAAATCCATATGGTTTAGTAAACAACTTCAATCAGAATCCAAAATCTAATTTTCCTCAATCCAACTCCTCCTTAATTCAATTCTTCTTCATTTCAATTCATCTTAATCCGATTACGGATTAGTAAATATACCATTGGGGTGTTAAAAAACCTACCTTTTTTTTTATTGTGAGAAAAAACGAGAGTATATTATTAAAACAAAGTACAAACTAAATGAAGGCAGACATTGGCTCAAAGGATTAAACGAGCAAGCTCTAGACATGATGATTTGGTCATCGGAATAACCAACAGCCTACTTGTTTGTTATCGGTCTCTCGCCCGTATTTAGTCTTGGACAGAATTTACCAGCAGCCTACCTTCCTTGTGAAACTAGTTAGAAAACTAACTTATTTAAATTGGAAATCTCGACCCACATCTCAACTATAGCATAGTATGAACTTGAAACAAGTTTGTTATCTTAAAAAATTAAAAATAAAATAAAATAAATTTATAGGTAGTCCAAAGAGTGTTTCTTTTTTTCCTTCTGAAAATTATAGGATTTGGAACATTCCATCTCACCCTTTTGTAGCTTGCGTGATTCCCACGCACCTTAGTGGATATAGACACATGGCATGCCTTTATAATAAAGATAATTAAAACAAAACAAAAAGTTAATAAAGTTCTTCAACCCACCACTCATGTAAGCCTAAACTATTCCCGCTTTCTTCACCATCCTTCTATTTCCCCTAATCTGTGTGCTAATTAGACTCTCAGAGCTCATCAAAGCTTATGCCTTTTGTCATTGCAAAGCAAGCAAGAGGCCCTCCAATTGGCCATTGCCTATCTTTCTTTCCTTAATCCCATAAAGTCATTTCTGTCAGAGCTACATATAGTCACTTATAGGATTTAGATCCCCACCACCACCACCACCAATATATATATATAGAGAGAGAGAGAAAGAGAGAGAGAGAGAGCTCCTCAGCTCACCTTCCATGAAAAAACCCTAAAATTTTATCTCCTCACCATGACTAGTATAACTACAAGCGGTGTCACCTTAAACATCAAATCCTGCAGAACCAAGTTTGCTCATAGATTTGTTCGATCTCTCTTGCAAATCAGAAACCATGCTCCGCCCAGTTCATCGTCGTCTTCAGAGGAAAAACTGATCCAAAAGCGCAGGCAGAGAATAAAGATAGCAGCTTATTCATCCATGGCTCATGCTGTTGGGCCAAGGATGAACTGGAGCAGGGCTCTTCTCTTTAAGCTTCGAAACCGGGCCTGCAGGCACCGTAAGAAGAAAAGGATTGTTGTGATCAGAAGAAAGACTAAAAAGGCCTCAAGATCATCACAGGGATCGGTTCCTGTGGATCAAGCAAAAAAGCTTCGGCGGCTCGTTCCGGGGGCCAAGTCCATGGATTTGTGCAGCTTGCTGGAGGAAACTGCTCACTACATAACATGCCTTTCCACGCAGATTAAGGTGATGCAGGCTTTAGCTGATCATCTTTCTAAATGAGAGAAATCAAAGAAGTGTAAGGAATGAAATTATTGATACATACAGATGATACAGGCGAGTGTTGTGTGGGCGGTAAGTATATATATATATATTATACAAATCACATGGATTATATATATAGTTTTGGTTTACCGCATATGCTCAAACTCCAACATATATGTGGTTATTTGAATTTAAAGAAGGATGATGTAAACTCTGACTTGAAATTAATGTACGGATTAAATATTTTGTATATACAATATTCAAACATCACATTTACATAAACTCTGACTTGTATAAAGTTAAAGCCAGAGGCTCTCATTTAAGTTAACATCTCTCTCTCTCTCTCTCTCTCTCTCTCTCTCTCTCATCCTCTGCATGTGCTTGTCTATGGATTGTCTTCTGTGTGTGTTTCTTACATAATCGACGCAGGTCTCAATTATTATTGCGCATGCTCCCTACAGCACGCAGGTGAATATGAAGAGAGAGAGAGAGAGAGATATATATATATATATAAAGAATAATATGAAGATTAAGAGGGTGTTTGCTGCACGTTTCTTGCCACTATAATATGAACATCCACTTTTCTTCTATTGGCTACCAACTTTGGGGTTTCTTGCTGCTATATGGTGTTTGGTTTTGATTTAATTATTCAATTTTACTAATTTACCCTTATTATAGTAGTTTATTTTATATTTTATTATACAATCAATATTGAGAAACAGGGTTTTCAAACATTTAGGGGCGGAGGGAGCCAAAGGCCCGGGGGGGTCCTATGCCCCCTCTCAATTTTCTTCAGACCTTGGATTTCTTAACACAATTACACATCTTTTATCAAACTTCTAAGTGCCTTTTATGTTTTTCTTCTCTCCCTTTTCCCCTATTATTACTACCGATACTCTTTTTTTGTCTTATTTTGACTTTGATTGTAGTAATAAACTACCATTTGAATTTTGTTAGTGTATATATTTAACTAAGTACATGCAATATCTCTTGCTAGTATTAATGATGAGTAGATAATTAATGTGATATATAAAATAATAGAATATAGTAATTAAATTTATGAATTTGTATCAAGTAAAAAATTAATTAAAATGTCACCAAAGAAAAATAAATTTCAATATATGAGGTGCCCCCTCTGTAAAAAATTTCTAGCTCCGTCACTGCTCACATACACTGTCAAAGTGCAGATTGCAAACCTAAGATTATTGGTTTGAAAGTCAAAGCCCTTTCTACTGGTAGGCCCATTGCCCCCTTATTACATTAGATTTATTTTCTCTTTAGCATATTAATTTCTACTTCCAGCTAAGGATATTTGTTGATATTTTCTCATTGGATACGATTGTTTTTCATTAAATTTGGGTGCCATATTGAAATTTCATTTCGGTTATTTGATTAGCTAGTTTATCAATAAAAACTACCGCTTATTCTAAAAAAAGAGAAAGATAATATCAAAACATATTTAAGTGATTACGGTAAGTCAATTGCCTCTATATAAAATGGCATAATTCTCGGCAGAAGCTCTTTGTCCAAATGGTTCAAGTGAGACCTCAGTGAGAAACTTCTTTGGATGGAAGTTCTTCTTCGAGACTAATAAGTGTTGCTGATGGAAAAAAACTCAGCCTTGAAGCTGTTCGTTGGCCATGAGATTGGTAGATACTTAGAGCCAGTTTGACATTACTGTACTGTGAAAATAATCGCTGTCATATTTGCTGTGAGAGAAATCAACTGTAAGAGAAAACTGTTTGGCATTTGGTAAACTTTTTGTTAAAAAGTGTTGTTGGTATTGATTCCCGCATAACCAGAAAATGATTGCTGCATAATCATTTGTTTGACATTGCTATGCTGTGAAAATAATCGTTGTCAAATTAGCTGTGAGAGAAAGCAGTTTGATGTTTAGTAAACTTTTGATTCCCACATAATCATTAAACCCAGCCTCTTCGAAACTAATTCCTGCATAATCAGAAAATGAAAGCGTCTCATTTGCTGCTTCCCTTATAGCTTTCTCTCACATCCATTTTTAACAATAAGTGATTTTCTCATAGTTTATCAAACAGGCTGGGCTTCCCAACATTTTAAAAAAATCACTTATCACCCCAAATAAGCAATGTCAAACGGACACTTACACGGCCAAAAAAAGCTATTTGTCATATTGTTGACAAGAAATCTCTCCGAACGATTAGTTAAGTTACTCCTACTATTAGGAAAATGGTAAAAGTAGAGAAAGAATGTGCTTTGCACGAATAAGGTTTTTTATTTTATTTTGAGACCCTTTCTTAGTCTTGATAGCATCATATCTCTCGATGATGTTATCTTCTTTTTATTTATTTATTATTATTATTATTTATTTTTTTAAGGGCTAATGTGTAGAATCCTTTAAATTGCATCACATCTTTTAACTTTCCTTGATTCCCAAGCGCTCAAAATATTTCCAACAAATATATCAAAGAACATTACCATGATTATTAAAATCATAATAATATCTAGAAAGATTAAAAACTCACATTGATTTTTCTTCTAACCAACAACCTAATTCATGGGCCAATGGTTCCATATCCCACTCTTCCTATTAGTATAAAATGAAATTGCCTCTTTCCATTTTTTTTTTCAAATCATGTAACATGTCAACATTCATTAAGCCTGGTTTGATATCATCATAGTTCTTGACGATTCTAGTAGCTTATTATAAAACAAAATTATCAACAATTTATTTACACCATGATTCTCATGTACATCATGCATATTTATAAGCATCTCATTGTTTTGTGGTACCTCTCTTTAAGGTCTTTCATTTCTCTTCAAGGATAACATTTTTCGAGATGAATTGTTTAGAGAATGTGAATCGGAACATTATTTATCAACAAGGTTTTAATTTTCAACCTAATCTCTAATTTTATGGAGTTGAGTATTTAGAACTTTATAGATGTTACATGCTTTTGTTAAAGGAAAGAAAATAAGTCAATGATATGTTATAGAGAGATTGTAGGAACTGAATGTAATTATTATATAATCAGTATCTATTTACCTAGAATAGCCATTCCTTGTATGTGTAGAATTCCTTACCTAGAATAGCTGTTCTCGTATGTATATAATTCCTAGTTCTGTATGAAGTTATACATATATACAAAGATATCAATTTTCTCATGGTATCAGAGCATTAGACGACTCTGAAGTACAAACACCTTCTGCTACAAACACAAATACAGATATCAAACACCATACACAGCAACCATGGCTGAATCAAATACCACAAAACCAACAGACACCTCCTCCGATCCGCTCTCTTTACACAACTCCGACACACCTGGACTTTCCCTAGTTAACTTCAAGCTTGAAGGCCACAACTATGGCCAATGAAGCAGATCTATGCATTTCAGCCTCAGCGCCAAGAACAAACTTGGATTCGTTGATGGATCTGTCAAGACACCATCATCTGATGACTCAAAATTCCCATTGTGGCAGCGCTGCAATGACATGGTTTTGTCATGGATCTTGCACTCCCTCCATCCTGACATAGCCAGCAATGTTCTCTACGCTAAAACAGCGGCTGCTGTTTGGACTGACCTTCGAGATCGATTTTCACAGAGCAATGACTCCAGGATTTATCAGATTCGACAAGAAATTGTTGAGTGTCAACAAGGACAGCAAACAATCTCCATCTATTACACGAAGTTGAAAGCTCTTTGGGATGAGTTAGCCTCATACCAAGAGCCTTTTTCCTGTGACTGTGAAGGGATGAAGAACCTTGCCGAGAGAGAAGAAAAAGAGAGAGTGATGCAGTTCTTGATGGGCTTGAACGACACCTACTCTACGGTTCGAGGATCGATTCTGATGATGAATCCCTTGCCTGATACGCGCAAGGTTCATGGTCTGGTTCTTCAGCATGAACGCCAGGTTGAGGTGACCAGCCGGAATGACAGTTTGATCACTCCCCATGCAATGCAAATCAGTCGTTCCTCGCTGGTTGGATCTTCACAACCCCGCAAATCCCTGAAGTGCACATACTGCGATGAAGATGGCCATACGAAAGAACGCTGCTACTTCATCATTGGTTTCCTTGTTGGCCATAAATGGCATGGGAAAAACATCAAGCCCAGAAACCAACGTTACAACCCAACGGCTCACAATGTTGAACTTCATCAGTCACCAGCCAAACATACTGACACTGCCAAGACAACCACTGCTAATGGCCCAACCTTCACTACCGAGGAGTACAACGAACTTATTGACATGCTTTGCAATAAAAAGGGTAACATTCAGCCACTGGCACATGCAACAGGTATCATTACACCCACTTGTAATATTGCACAACATGATCCACATTCCACATTATATTGGATTGTCGATAGCGGAGCAACGGATCACATTTCTCATATGCCTCCTACACATAACCACACCGCGACACATCATGAATTTGTTGGCTTACCCAACGGAGAACAGGCAACAATATGCAACACTGGGTTTATTAAATTATCATCTGATTTGTCTCTTGATGGAGTTTTACATGTCCTGAAATTTCGTGTCAATTTGTTATCTGTCAGTAAATTAACTCGGGCTCTACGATGTATTGTAATTTTTTCTCCGGATTTTTGTGTTGTGCAGGATGTGGATACGAAGAAGACGATTGGCCTGGGCAAGCATTTTGATGGGCTTTACTACCTCATGCCTACCCAAAATCCTCACCTAGCTAGTCATGTTGGTCGTATCTCAACTCTTTGGCATCAACGTCTCGGGCATCCGTCACCTGCACCTTTTCACCATTTGTCCAAGATTATTCCAGAAATAATGTTTAATTCCCAGCATATTTGTGATGTTTGCCCTTTGGCTAAACAAACTAGATTACCTTTCCCTTCCAGTTCAATTAAAACCGTTGCACCTTTTGATCTTATTCATTGTGATATTTGGGGACATCACAACACCCGTACCCATTCTGGGGCACGTTATTTTTTGACGATTGTTGATGATTTCACTCGTTTCACATGGGTTCATCTTCTGAATTTTAAATCCGATACACAACCATTTTGCAATCATTTTTTTCTTGGGTTAAAACTCAATTTAATCGTTCCATTAAAACCCTTCGTTCTGATAATGGTGGTGAATTCCTATCCATGCGCTCATTCTTCCTCACTCATGGCACTAATTTTCAACATTCTTGCACATATACCCCTCAACAAAATGGGGTCGTTGAATGAAAACATCGCCATCTTTTGACCATTAGTCGAGCACTTCGTTTCCAAGCCAACTTACCCTTACACTTTTGGGGAGATAGCCTTCAAACTGCATGTTACCTCATCAATCGCCTTCCTTCCCCCTTACTCTCTCATCATACCCCTTATGAGCTATTACATGGGACTTCCCCTCTATATTCTCACCTCCGGGTTTTTGGGTGTCTTTGTTATGCCACTAACCTTACACCCACTCACAAGTTTGACACTCGGGCTCGTCGTTGTCTTTTTCTTGGTTATCCTCTTGGTCAGAAAGGCTATCACGTTTTTGATCTTGACACAAAGAAATTTTTTGTCTCTCGGGATGTTGTGTTTCATGAACACATATTTCCTTTGTCTGATCATCCCCCTGCACATCAAACAGCCACAACCACTCTTCCTATTCCTCCTTCCACGTCAGACATTTCTTTACCCACCTTTCCTCTCACACATCCGGCCCAAGCTGACCCACACTTACCAACCTCACCTCCAGCAGATTCGGCCCAAGTTGACCCGGCCCAACTTCCCTTTCTTACTCCCCTTTCAGGTCCCTCGTTCCCTTCGCCCTCCTCACTCTCCATGCCGCCTCTCTCTCCCATCGATGGCGGCTCTGGTCCTCCTTTGCCGTTGCTTGGCCCTTCATCGACCTCCCTTGATCCACCCATACCGTCGACCTCCCTTAATCCCCCGATGTCGTCGACCTCCTCTGATCCCCCAGTCCATCTCAACCCCACTGACCTACCCCCTTTACCTCGTCGGTCTGAGCGTGTTAAACACCCTCCTTCACATTTTCACGACTATAAAGCTCATCACACCGCCTTGCTCACACCTGGGGCCGTCTCTTCCTCCACGTCCGGAACCCGATATCCCCTTCATCGGTATATCTCTTACTCTGGCTTATCTCCTGCATATCGGAATTTTGTATGTAATATCTCTCGATTGGTCGAGCCATCTTCATATGCGCAGGCTTGTCAGGATCCCAAATGGGTTGCTGCGATGCACTCTGAATTGCAAGCCCTTGAAGCCAACCACACCTGGTCTTTGGTCCCTCTGCCTCCCGGCTATCGCCCAATTGGCTGCAAGTGGATCTTTCGAATCAAATACAACTCTGATGGCACAGTTGACCATTACAAGGCTCGTCTTGTTGCCAAAGGGTTCAATCAACGCGAAGGTATTGACTTCACTGACACCTTTGCTCCTGTTGCAAAATTGATCACTGTCCGCTGCTTACTGTCTGTTGCTGCTGCTCGCGATTGGCCTCTACATCAAATGGATGTCCATAACGCCTTTCTCCATGGCGACCTCCAAGAGGAGGTTTACATGTTACCCCCGCCCGGTTCTCGTCGATAGGGGGAGCATGTTGTATGTTGACTTCACAAGTCCTTATACGGACTCAAACAAGCTCCACGAAGTTGGTTTCACAAGTTTTCATCTGCTATTTGTGGCATTGGCTTCAAGCAATCTCGAGCCGATTACTCTTTGTTCACACATGTACAGGGAAGTTCCCTAACTATTATATTGCTTTATGTGGATGATATGATAATCACAGGCAATGATGAAAAGGCAATCTGTAAGCTAAAACACTTTCTTGGCAGTCAATTCCGAATAAAAGATCTTGGATCCTTAAAATATTTTCTTGGTGTTGAGGTGGCACGATCAAAAACTGGGATCTCTATTTGTCAACGCAAGTATACTCTTGACATTTTGGAAGAAGCTGGACTACTTGGAGCTAAACCAGCCAAGGTTCCCATGGATCCTGATTTAATATTATCTCCTACAGGTGAACTGCTCAAATACCCTACTCGGTATCACTAGTTAGTTGGCAAGCTGATCTATCTCATAATTACCAGACCAGAAATCACTTATGCAGTCAACACCCTTAGTCAGTTTATGCAAGAGCCGAAACACCAACATCTTGATGCTGCATATCGTCTTCTCCACTACCTTAAAGAAGCTCCAGGTCAAGGGTTATTATTCTCTGCCGAGAACAAGTTGAAACTAATTGGCTATTGTGATGCAGATTGGGCTCGATGTCCAATCACACGTCGATCAGTAACTAGATATTGTATCTTTCTTGGTAATGCACTAGTGTCTTGGAAAAGCAAGAAACAGGTTACAATAACACGATCATCTGCCGAAGCCGAATATCGTTCAATGGCTGCAGCTACATGTGAACTCACTTGGCTAAGATATCTGTTGCAGGATCTGCGTGTTGCACATTCAGAACCTGCAAAGTTGTTTTGCGACAATCAAGCGGCCTTATACATTGCAGCGAATCCAGTGTACCACGAACGAACCGAACACATTGAGCTTGATTGTCACACTGTTCGTGAAAGAATAGAAAGAGGTGAGATCAAGACTGGATATGTGCAGACAGGAGAACAGATAGCTGACTTGTTTACCAAACCATTGAGGGCACTGCCTTCAGTTCACTTCTTGGCAAGTTGGGTGTTATCAACATCCACATTCCAACTTGAGAGGGAGTGTTAAAGGAAAGAAAATAAGTCAATGATCTGTTATAGAGAGATTGTAGGAACTGAATGTAATTATTATATAATCAGTATCTATTTACCTAGAATAGCCATTCCTTGTATGTATAGAATTCCTTACCTAGAATAGCTGTTCTCGTATGTATATAATTCCTAGTTCTGTATGAAGTTATACATATATACAAAGATATCAATTTTCTCAGCTTTAGGCATGCAACATCATAGGCCGCTTTGCTGAAAACACGAGAAGTAAACTTCATCACACCATGCCCTCAATAGACATCAGTATTCATGTTCTCCAAGAGAATGTCGATGAGGATAGAATCAACTAAATCCATTGGCAAAACCAGAAATTATTTAGCAAAGGTACAATTTGGAAGACTAAAAGTTTTATAAAAAATTGAATAAAATAAACAAATCATAATTGATCATGGCTCAAGTCGTGCGTTGCGTAACCTTTTCCTCCTTGAGTTTGCTACTGAAACTAATCATAAGAGCTAAATGTAAAATAAATATAAAATTAAAAAAAGGAAGAAAAAAAGAAGAAGAAGAAGAAACAAATTGGCGACCAAGAAGGAAAAAAAAAGCAGCACATGAGACTTACTTTGGGTGAAGAGGGAAAAAAACTACAGCAATAGCAAACAAATTGATTTCCTTATTTTTTAAATCCTTGTTAAAATAAGAAAGAAAAATATGTTTAAAGACTTTTTAAAGCCCATGAAATGAAGGCCTAAGCATGTCTTGAAAGCCCATGATTGCAGTTCGGTTTTTTTTTCTGACCCAAAACGACGTCGTTTTGGCAAGGACTTAAAAAAAAATTAGGCGTGATGCGCAGTGCAACAAATAGACTTTGGCTAAGATATTTTGTCGAATACCTAGAGTGCACCATCACCAACTGAGCAGAGGGGAAATTTGAAGCACCCACAATAGTTTTTCTAGCAAGGAAAGGTGTAGCTACACCTCCTTATGCATTAATAGGTCCGCCACTAGCCAAATCCCCCACTTAACTCTCCCTCCCTCCCTCCCTCCTTGAACATAGGAAACAAATTACTAATCTTCCAAAAAATGCTGCTCCTTTTACTTAACCTATTTTTCATGGACAACCCTTTTTCACTTTTTTCTGTTCACTTTTTCTATCCTCCACATTGAAATTAGAAGAAGAGTACAAGTAAGAGCTTATCTTCATAAGTGCTTCTATTTCTACCCACTGTCCTATTTCCTCCCCCACCTTGTCTTCAAAATTTTAAAGATAGATTTACCCCTTTGTAAAATAACTTATAAGGACTTAGGGAAAGAACCTCAACTTGCGTAACACCAACCTATTCTACAGTTTGACAAAAAGAAAAAAAAAGAAAGAAAGAAGAAAGCGTACGACTCCTCAGTGCTCAAAACTCAATTCTCAAACAATTTTTTCTCTCTTTTGTTCATTCAATCAAATTATTTATGAAGAAGAAAACAACAGGAGAATGAATGATGAAGAGATCAACTCCATTGAAAAAGTAAGGAAATCATAGTGAATAAAAAACATTTATCCAAAATATTTCCAGAAGCTACAAGCGAGAGAATAAAAAACTAAAAGATCAAGAAAATCAAAATATTAAACTAAAAACATTTATGGTTAATTACAGTTTAGTGGTTATACCCATAAGACATGTTAGTCCATACCTTCTCAATTTAATAAGGACAGACCTCGGTCTTTTAAATTTGTTACAATGTGGTTCCACCGTTAGGGTTTCCATAAATTGTCCAGTTAGTTGCCTACGTGGCACTTATGGGTACCACTTTTTCACTAGTTTCGAAATCCTTCCAAGTGCATTTTGGGACTTTTTTTTTATTCCTTCGACCAACCTTCTGTCTTGAACTCACGCCCACGTGGCATAGGCTGATTGGCTTGGAATGCAAAATTTTAAAATTTTTAATTTGAAGTCCTCGTCTATATAGATTGATAGAAACAAGAACCCTAAGTCCTCAAATTATCTCACACCAATTCTCTCCAAATCCTCTATTTTTCTTCGTGAAGTTCGGAAATACAGAAGGAGTGAGACGCGTCGATGATTTTATGGTGGGTTTGCTCAACTGGAAACCTCTTAGACCAAGGATAATCCAGGGAGAAGAATCTAGGCATGCTGCCGCAAGGTAATTTCACTAATTTCATTGTTACTAGGGTGTTAGTGTTTCAAATTGGAATTGAATTAGGCAATTATTTAAGTTATTTACCTCATGTTCAGGAAAAAAGGTATGCACATTTCGACTGGTTCGATCCTTAAATGAGTGTCGGTAAAAAATGATCATTCATGGGTTGTTGAAAAGGATAAATAAGGCTAAGGGTGAACTGAGAAGGTCGAGCATGAGAGAGAAGCTACTTTGGTTTTTCATCATTATTGTTATACTCTCAACAAATGCAAATGAACATAAGGGTTCAAGTGGAATGAAGACAGTACTAGAACTTGCTTGATGGTTTATGTTGGATTTTGTCTAATGCAGGTTTTTTTTAAAGATCATTAACTAGTTGTAATGTTGCTTGATGGTTTATTTTGGTATGAATGTATGAAACTATGGGTTGTATGAAATGGAAAATTGGAAAATCACATTCCTTTTGCAAATTGTTCAAAATAAGTGCATGACTTCCAGTATTTCATGGAGGTAATATTGTACAAAATAACTGACGATACAAAAATAAGAGAAAAATAAAAGTTCATTGATCTCAACTTGTTAACAAAATAAGAGTGCATTATATCAAGCATTTCGTACCAAAATGTCAACAAAAACCCAGGCTTTCATATAGTTTGTCAATAACCAAAATACAGTCATAACAAAACCAGACAACAACCTCTAATTTAGTTTCTCCATAACCAAAACACATTCATACCAAAGCCAAAAAAAACGACCTCCAATATAGTTTGTCGATAACCGAAAACCCAACCAAACCCTATTTGATCCTACACTCCACTTTGTGATTCTTGGACAGAAGCATAATTGTTGCATCTTGTGTTGTTGCGTTTAGCCCTCTTCCTCACAACTCCAATTGGATTGCTTGAATCTACTGCATATGTTGCTGCAACTTCTGCTTTCTTTTTGTCTCTCTTTTCCTGAAAAAACAAACAAAAACAGAATGCTATCACCTATTATCATACAACCATCATCCCAACAAGCAAATACAATTGTAAAGTGCAATTACCTTCAGTACTTTAGCTCTTTGCTTTGCCTTCTCTCTCAATTGATTCTTCCTCTCCATCTCAGCTTCATACTTGTCAAGTTTGGAAACTGGGATAGAAGTTCCAATAACAGCCTTAGTCTTACTTTTCTTACCAGGTTGGTTTCTATCATTTGGTGGCTTATGCCTATGGCATATTAGTGAATTATGACCCTTTTGCCCATATTTACCATATTTGAGAGAGTCTTGGTACCTTCCTATCTTTTTCCCACTTGTTTTGGTCTCCTTTTCACTTGCCTATTTCCTCCTAACCTTGGTTGGTTTGCCTGGCTGTCTATTATACATAAAAGTAGTGGCGGATCCAGGATTGTTACCCCAAGGGGTCTTCTTTAAAATTCTGATTTTTTTTTTTAAGATGAAAATAATGCTAAAAGATAATTTTCTATACTTTCCTCTTATCGTTCCATAATTCTAAGCATGAATTAATCAAACCAAACAAATGAACAAACCTACCTTATTATAAGTTATCCATCACAAAATTAATCATAAACCCTAAATTCCAACAAATCAAATAATCATATGTAGTCATCTAATCCAATAAATCATCCACACACAAAATTATCAATATTCATCCATTCCAATATATCATTATCCAATAAAAATATTAGGCATTATCATCAAACAAAAGAATGTAACATAAGTATACCAAGAACAATAAATTTATAAAATCAGAGATGGAGAGGGAAGAGAATAAAATTTTCAGCCATGTTGAGGGTTTTTGGGGAGATTTAGTTTAGGGTAGAAAATAATAGAATTTGGGGATTTTTAGAGTCCATTTGAGTGTTTGAGTTGACTGGAGTAGAGACAAGGTATTTCATTACAATTATTTTAGTATTTTTATGTTTTTCATAAATCTTGTTGGGAAATATAAAGGGTTGTTGGGTAGAGGTGTATATTAAACTTTGGTCAATATTTTCCAGATTTGATATAGTTTTATGATTGAAAGCAATGAGATGATTCATAAATGATGTAGGTTTGGGTGGGTTTAGGCTTTGGGGGGAGTTGCTGGGCCAGTCCATTTTAAAGACAATTCCTGGGTCAAAATGATGTAGTTTTGCCTAGGATGTTTATAAACAAATAAAAACAACAGTGCTTCTTCTTCCTCGCAGCTTCTTTCTTCCTCAGGTAAAACGTCGAGCACTTGGTGTGCAACTCCATGAGGTCTCTCCCCCAGCTCCAACGGACCTCTAAGCTTATGTCCATGGCTTCCAAGAGGTCGTACGACCCCACTGACCACACTGTGGCTCTGCCACTGCATAAGAGGTAATATTTCAGGGAAATATGTTCTTTCCCATTGGTCCATTCCCTTCACATGCTGTATAATGTTCTCAATGCCTTTAGGAATGTCTCCTTCATGTAACACTTGTCTATATAATTTTCAGGCCTATCCCCTCTCTTATGGTTAATAGCTGACACTACTTGCTTACATGGCACACCAGATAAATCCTAATTCCTGCATGAGCAGGTCCTATCATCCAAATCTACTATAAACTACCCACCTGTTGCAGTATGTACTTGGAACTTGGGTTTTCCAGATATAATAGCAATGCAATCAGCAACAATTTTTTTGTTGGTTTCAAGCTTTCCTAAGGGCCTAGGAGATATTGCACAATCCCATATCATCATCAAATTTCTTCTAATATGTATCCTTCTCATCAACTTAACCCTAATCTCCTCCATCATTGAAATTATTGGCTTACACCTAGCCAACATTATCTAGAAATTAAAAGACTCACATATATTGTTCAATAGTATTGGACACTTCAAATTAGTGTTGAAATGCGACCTTGACCAATGTCTTGGTGGTTTTTCTGGAGCTGTTTCACATTTGTAACATTTAGATTAGTCATCATCCAGTTAGTTTAATTAAACAGAAAAAATAACTAGTTATTGTTACACAATGTTCTTAAAACATTACCTGTAAGCCATTTATAAGCTTCACCATCCAATGTCCTCAACACTTCCATTGCCCTTCTAAACTCTAAAATTGTGGTTGCAAATGCAACCTTCCACATTGCATCCTTCAACATTTTCCCCTTGTATACCAAACTGAAGTTTGTGGATATGTGTCTTGCACAAAATCTGTGACAACAATTAGGCACGACTGCCTCAAAAGCCTCTACCAGGCCTTTATGCTTATCTCTTATGAATGTAAACCCATATTGGTTTACCAACTCAATATCCTTCACAAGCAGCTGAAAAAACCATATCCATGAATCCTTGGTTTCCATCTCCACTTGAGCATAAACAATAACCCATGCCATATTATTGGCATCTAGACCAATAGCTAACAACAATTGGCCTTCATAAGGACTCTTCAAAGGGCACCCATATAGTCCTATTATAGGTCTGCATCCAACCTTGAATCCCTCCTTACAGACACCCAAGCAAATGTACATTCTTTGGAACACATGCCTCTGTAACAATGAATTGAAATCACCTTTAATTTGCACTATTGTTCTGTTTGTGCCTAATAAAACACGGTCATAAACTGATTGAAGGGACTTCCCTTCGGCCCTAGCGCCTACCGTTTCGTTAAGCATTTCGCCCTCCTAAGAGCAAAAGAAAAGCTGCAAAGGTAGAATCCCCTCGGCCTCGCGACCGCAGTTTTGAAGGCCGAGGCCGAAGGCCGCAAAAGATACAATCTGAAAAGCTGTGGTTGAATCGCCATGTGACCTCAAGGCCCCACGCTCCATTTAATGAAGTAATGCCTTTGACTTCGCAGCAAAACCCACTAGTCACAAGAAGCATTCAATGCACGAGGGAAGTGACTGAAGTCAGGATTTGGTGATGGGAATCCGGGTGGTTAGGCGCAGACATTCTCACAAGTAATCTTACGACTTAGGGTCAGATCATCAACCACCAGTCCAGGGCATTAAATGCGTTCCCACAGCCAAGGGGGCAGAACCCACGATCAGGGCGGTGGCCGAGATTTGCCGAGACTTATGGGGGTCACACCTCCATGCTTCTCAACCCCAGACTACCATGCTTCACGATCCCAAATGCCGATTTGGCTACCCACTTGCCCGGCCAGGCTCCACCACGCAGGTCTTGTCAACCTCGAATGTCCCTCCAGGACTCCTATAAATGCTAAGCTCAGGACTACATTCAAAGGGTTCAAACACCAAAACAAAAGCCTCCCACGGAGCAAATTATATTTTCTGTAATGCACTTTCAATACCTTTATTTGCTTTCTTAGGAGTAGTGGTAGATTGTAAGGAAAGTCCATTCATCAATATATCATACGACCCTTGATTTTCAAGGCGCCGGAGCACCACCTCTGTTATCGCCTCACTCACCCCATATATTATACGACCGTCACTCTCTGAGCAATGCGCCGGAGTACCGCCTAAAAACCCACCACCAACACCACCACTAAACGGCCTTGTAGCTCAGGCCGAGAACCTAACGGCTGAGATTCGTTCCTCACTCGGTCACAATTGTTTGATTAGGAGTCGAACGCAAAACAGGCGCAACATTTAAACCATCTTCTACCCGAACCTCATCATCACCTTGATGCACGGTAGACCGTGCTGGCACGCCTGCGCACAACCGCACCGCATCCAAAAGGAGGACGTCATGTGTAGATGCAGATCCCCTCGGCCTGGAGCACCAAGCCGCGAGATTTGCGACGGACCAACATGTTCCAGGATTTATCTTCCTCAATTATGCAGAATAGTCCTACAGTATAGCATATTATGCAGTAATTGTACCTTCTAGGATTTGTAAAGCTTTATTCTTTGCCCCTTAGCCTTGGACAATGATATTCAACTGTTAACATTCCCTTGCATTGTTGCCTTAAAGGACACCATTGGTACAGTGAGGTTTGTCTTCACCTCTTCCACAAATATTTAAGCCAACTAGGAAGATATTATCCCTTTGTTTTCCCATACCCTGGTACATATGTGTTTGGGATCTAGCTTATTCACCTGTAGTGTGTCTTCATGTTGCATATTGGATACATAAATATCAAAAGAACAGTTCTCAGATGCACAAATTGCCATAATCATATACTTCTCAAACTTCATCCAACATATCTCCCATCCTTCTTTTATTGAAATGGCTTTGAGAGCATTTCTGAAGCTAACACTATTTGCAAACTGAATGCCAGTATCTAACTAGATAGTTCCCATGTCATAAGAAGTATTAAACTCTAGGAATGTATGACCAGTGCTCTCCTCATCTGATTGTGGTGCTTTCTTAAGGTGTTGCTCATCCTCTTCATTAATTGCAAACATGTCTTCATTATCCACAAAGTCTCCCACATCTGAAGCTTTGGTACTGATTGTTCAGCATTTGGTCCACCTGACTCATCATCCATGTCAACCTCATGTAAGAAGACTTCATCATCATCATCCTCATCAATACCGTACTCATTATCCACAAATTAATATGAAGAGTGATGGGGTGTGTGTACTAGGGTTAAGTATTGGGGTGAACAAAGAAAAGTGTGGGGTTTAAATAGAAAAACTCTTGTGATGCTTCCCTTGATAGCTAAGGGTTATCTCATACCATTCTTAGCACTAACAAAGCAAATCCCAATAGGCCATGCTCCTTCCAGCCACAGCCAATTGGAGAAGGAGGATCGTCGTCTTCGCCTAAAACCCGGTTATATATCAAGCCATGCTCCTCCAATTTGTCAACAAATTCTGGGTACCTCTTTTTCATCCTCTCGTACACAATGTGGCTCAGAACAATGGGAGTTTCTCCCTCATTTCCAGGCTCCACTTCATAGAAGAAGGAACAACTTCGCTGGGTTCTGTGAATATGTTAGAATGTGATCTCTATTGAAATTGAATGACAAATTGATGAATTAGTTGTGCAAGAGTTTAAATGCAAAGGAACAGAAGCCAAAGAAGTTGAATCCTTCATAAACTTCTTATCTGTGATCCTTTCCTCTATGAAGGTCTGTTGATTTCTTACCCAATTCATTTCTCAATATCCCACTTGCACAATGATACATCCTATTTTTCCCAATTGATGTTGAATTTCATTTTCACCTGCACTTTATGCAACTGCTTGCAGCCATGGGTTCCCACGCTTCACAAGTCACTCTTCATTCCTATGGGGTCTATTGGAAATGAAGTTGAAAGTGTAGAGGTTGAGAGTCCACAAGGCTCCCTTCTCTCACCTTCTCCCCTTGTGTCTTGGCGTGCCGACTACACTATCAAAAGAGGGAGACATCTGTTTAAACTTACCCTTCTTCCCATATCAAATTCTTTGTCATCCGAACCCCTAATCTCTTCTAAATCATCAGTCCTTTAGAGAATTTCTTCTGGTCCTTCTGATAGGATACCCTTTTTTCATGCTAATTTGGAGATGCAAATGATGATTTGCTTGATTTGCTAATCTTTTCTTCAAGGTATTGGCTGTTAAATTTCAAAGAGACGGGTGAGCGGCCCACAACTAGCAACACCAATATTGTCCCCATCTTGCCTTTGAGGTTAGTAGGTGTGGGGTTTTATCACAAAAGGCTTCGGTGATATTAGTGTGGAACTATTCATTATATATTTTATTTTATTTTGTCAAGTTTCCGATGTGGGACTTATATTCTTCAACACACCCCCTCACGTAGGATCACCACATAGTGGGCCACATGTGGAGCCAAGTCCACATCGGAGTTGAAACTATTCATTGTATATTATATTTTATTTTGTCAAGTTTCATATGTGGGACTTATAGTCTTCAACATTGGCCATTCATTGTTTGTTCCTTTTACTAGTTTGATGTGTGAGAGCATACAGATAGCATACCGGACATGTTTTGATTCAAATATTTTCTTTTGTCACAAAGCACGTAGAGGGTAGGCTCGCACTGATAGGAAGCACTCCCATCTGGAAAGAAGCTGAAGGGTTGTTCGAACAGGCTAGCGTCTTGGTGAGAATACCTTAAAGAGGGAGTTGTGGACAAAGTTTGAAGCAGCTTCTTCAAATGAGCTTCTGTTTAATGACTCTGTAACTCATAAAGGCTTTCTTGATCGATTTTATGAGGTTTCTTGAGATGGAGATTACCAAATGGCTTTTGAATAAATAGTTTCATGATCTTAAATTCTTATTTGTACTAGGTGGTTCATTTTTATCTTTTCAAAGTATAAGGAGATTTGCACATGTAATTTTGTATCCCTACAAGGCTACAACATCGAACCAACCTCCCCTTTCTTCAATATTTCCTAAACCCTGAAACCTCTCTATTCTCTAGCAATGGCCGAAACCACCGAATTGATTCAGCACATTGAGTTGTACGTCGACATGTCTCGCTCTCCTACTGAGCTGGTTCACACCATTCAATTTCTACTCGATTTTTTTTTAAAAAAATTTAGTGAAAAGTCTCTACTAGTTTGAGTTCCTTAATCCTGTTGGCTGCTTGGAAAATTAAGGAAAAAAAAAGTTAAACAATCAAAATTCAAACTAAATTATGCATATTTTTTATTTTTTGTTATTTGGGAGCTTTGCATTCACCTTTGGCATGCGTTACGGTGGGTACTTTAATCAAATTCTACAGCGTCTGTCAATTTAAACGATTGTAGCACTGTGTAACCTATGCATGAGTTTCTTTCATGTTTCTGCTTTGGGTTAGGATAGTTTGAAGCTCAAAATGTGTGCTTTACAGGTTGCAAGATTCAATCATTTCTCTCGTGAAGAGTGACTTTTTAACTATTGATGTGTTGGTACGATTAACTTTTCTTTATCCATCATCTTTAAGTTATATTCAATTGGTTTGTTTTCTTTAATTTATGTGTTTCTAAATAGGTGAAATAGATGAGGATGTGTTTGACCACTACGGATAATGTGATCTGTGCTCAGGGTAACTGTTATGTCATTTATTTATTTTTCTAAAATCAAATGATATATTGTTTTTCTATGAGGACCTAAATCTAAGTGCCCATTTGGCATTGCTTATTTGGGACTATAAGTGATTATTTTGAAAATTTTAAAAATGGTGCATGTTTGGTAAAGGAAAAAAAAATCACTTTTTGTAAATAATTGTTGCGAGGTAAAGCAATTTGGGATAGCTGCTTCCATTTTTTGATTATGCTATAGTCAATTTGGAGAGGTGCTGGACTTTAATGAAAATTTCAGAATTTCAAAAATATCCCCATCTATTTCACCCTCACGTCTCTCTTCTCCTTCCCATCACTCTCTTCCACGTTCATTAGAGCTCCCTCTTCGCCTTCTCTTCCACTTGTTCTTCAATTTTTCTTGTTGGATTAATTGAAGCATTCTCTAAAAGTCAAAGACATAGGGAAGCTCACTGATTATGATACAATTTACAAATCAAACTGATATGATAGCAGTGACAAGTAAGATTATTATTATCATTCTCCCTTAAACCCTAGAAATACTGATTTCACAGTCAAACATTCTCTAGAGAAACCCCAAAAACAGACCTTGTGATCTTCCTTCAGATTACTGATTCGGCAATGACAACTGAAAGACAAATGATTGGAAAGGCGTGAGACAAAACAACTTTAGAAATGGAAGGTAAAGGTTTTTGCGTTGAACAAGAAACAATTTGCTTTTCTTAGAGGTGACCTAAAAACCAATATAGACCTCATAATTCGATTATTTAAATGGACAATTCGTTGTTCCTGCTTGTTAAGAACCAAATTCTTATTTCTTATTAGAGAAGATTTGAGAGAGTGAAACCCAACCCATTTCCTTTCATACTACAAAGATAACAACAACTTGAGTAAAAGGAAAAAAAAATGATGCTTTTTAATTAAATGCTCCATTTCAAACCCAAGACCAGTCCCCTAAATAATTTCATTATTTAACTGGAGAATTTTAAACACTTGCATAGAAGAGTTATTTCACCATAATGTTCTTTTTAGTCATTATACACAACTCACAATATTTTCACACAAAAATGTATTGAACACTCAAAAACTGATTACTATACCAGCGTAACTTTTAACAAAAGTTTATCAAACGCAAAACTACTTTCTTTCATAATTGATTTCTCTCACAGCAAATCTGACGGTGATTATTTTCACAGCACAGCAATGCCAAACTAGCCCTTAGTATCAAGTAGTAGCTTGAAGATTTCTATGCATATTTAATGCGCAAGTGACTCTCTGTGCAACTGGCTTTCAGTTTGATGATAAGAATGCATTTGTGTAGATAATAGTTCTGATTTTGGATATATGTGGTGATTTTTTGGGATGATTCCTTTGGCTATGGGATTCGCGATCTCAGATCTAGTAATGTTTCTCTAGATTGTTTTTGTCCTTTAACTTTCTTAATTATCCGAATTGATTCTTCTATTCTGCTCAAGTTTAGGAGATGTAGGACAGAATGTAAATTCTTGCTCCACATATGCTCTATGAAGGGCTATAAGGTTTAGGAAACTTGTGAGTTTAAGGCTTAGTATTCCAAATTGGGGTTTGAAAGCCTAAAGAGAAAGGGCGTTTATCTAGTGAGAACGCTTATGTGCGAACGTTATATGAGAACCAAATCCAGCCATCCAAATTATCTGAACGGCTAAAGAGAAAGAGCAAGCTTAAGGTAAAAACGAGTAGGCTACAGTTCCCCTTAGCCCAAGTGTCAAGTCACGCCTGCTTCGGAAAAACGCACCTTTCTTCTTCCTGACAGTGGCCAGTCGTGCCTTTCTTGTCAATAAATTTATGAATTTATGAGTTTATGAATCAACCCTAAACAACCAAAATACCATACATAAATTTGTGTATTTCTCTTGTCGCGGAAACTTCTTGGTGTACTCTGTCTCTTTCGCTTCCTCCCTCATCTAATATTTCTCATCTGAACGTCTGAGAAAGTACGTTTCTCTCTAATTCCCTATGTTTCATTCATATTAATGTTTGCATGTTGTATTGCATTCAGTTAATGTTTAAATCACTTAATGTTTGAATAATGTTTAGGATTTTAGGGCATTGAATTTCTGGGTAAGAGTAGTCTGTCTCTGTAGTAGTTGTTGTTGCAAAAATATAAATTGGCGTCAGTTGTTTTTTTGCGTCTTTTTCTAGTTTCTAGTAATTTGTTAAAGCATGGTAACTAATTTTTGAAGCATTTCTGCAGTTTAAATATTATTTACTTTTTCCAAAAGCTGGGTTGTCTTTTTATCGCAATTTATTGTGGTAATTTGTTGAAGTGTAGATTCACATCTGTTGGTTGTTCCTATTTTTGTTCGCATTGTGCTTGCTTGTTGTCTTTTCTTAAAATTCAAGGAACCCTCATGTGTTGGTCATTGTAATCCTGGTTTGCCCATCTAGTGGTGTGAGTGTATGGCATCATTTTAGGGATTTAATGGGTTTTGGAAAACAAAGAATAAGCAGAATTAGAAGTAGAACGCAGAAGAGAAAATTGAATCTTAATAGTGAATGATTTGGGATGCAGAAGGATCAATTCATCGTGTAGTTGGTATCAATTATGTATGTTAATGTTTTGAAAATAGTGTTGATAGGTATCAGCTCTGTGTGTGAATGTGTTGAAAATAGTGTTTGTAGGTGAAAATTATGCATCCTAATGAGTTGAAAATAGTGTATCAGTTGTGTATCTTAATATGTTAAAAATAGTGTTAGTAGGTATCCATTATGTATTTGACTGTTTGAAAATAGTGTTTGTAGGTATTAATTATGTATGTTAATGAGTTGAAAATAATGTATCAGGTTGCATCTTAATATGTTGAAAATAGTGTTAGTAGGTATCCATTATGTATGTGAATGTGTTGAAAATAGTGTTTGTAGGTATTCATTATGTATCTTAATGTGATGAAGATGTGTAGATAATATTGTGAGTAGGTATCACTTCTGTATGTTAATGTGTTCATAATTTTGTGAGCAGGTATCACTTCTGTTTCTTAAGCAAAAGGTGTTTGTTGCAGTTAAAAAATGGAATATGGGTTTGAACTTTGTTTGCCGGAGTCAGAGGTCTATGCTGCGCGGGTGAATAATTTGTGTGTGGTGAATAAAGTCCTGTGTAATTTTGGGGCGCATTTCAGTGAGTCGCTTATGAAAAGATTTAGAGAGAGCTGTTTTGGGCACTTGTTGGGCCTCCATAAAATTGCATTTAGTGGTCAAATTGTGCATGCTCTGGCACTCTGGTGAGTTGGAGGACTTGGTGTTAAGGACATGTTGGGCCTTAGTTATGCAATAAGGTCCAATGTTGCTCAATTCAGTGTAAAGGATTTTTGTTTGATAAGTGGTCTGAAATGTGGAACAGAGCCTGACATAACGTCCGGGGGGAATGCTCATAATCAATTTATGAAAGCGCATTTTACTAAGAGGGGTCACATTACTTGCATTGACTTAGAAAATGCATTCCTAAAGTCCAAAAGAGGAAGCGAGGACTCGTTCAAATTGGGACTACGGTATTTTGTGGAGTTTGTGATAATGGGTAAACCCCAAAATGTGAAGATAAACGAGGAGTACTTACATTTGGTTCATAAAATAGACGAATTCAACAATTATCTGTGGGGATCTATATCTTTTGAGTTTCTGCAAGATTCTCTGTTGTTTGCTCCTAGGAAGAAAGAGAGTGATGAAGAGAATGATGGGAAGGGAAAGGGATAGAAAAAGGGAAAAAAGGCGGTGCAGAGTTCAGTGAGAAAAGGGAAGAAAAACGTGAAAGATGAGAAGCCTAAAAGAATTAACAAACATGGATGGAGTATAAAGGGATTGAGCTATTCTGTCCAGGTATGATGTAGTTCAAAATTAGTGTTTGTAAAATTTTAGTTCGTAATTAAGTACTGACTTTGATAATCTATTTGTTGTAGATTTGGTTGTATGAATTAATTGCTGAATTGGGAATTCCCCCCTTAGATATTATAAGCGGATCGAGGAATCTGCATTAGTACCTCGAATTTCCCAGTGGGAATCCACGAATAAAGTGCCTGAGTTTAGAAAGCTGAACGTTTATATATTTCAAAGCAAACAGGTGTGTAGTTAATAATTTATTTCAGTACTAAGTTCGTTTTATGAAGAAAGCTGTTTAGTATTGTGTATGACCTGTTAACTCTATGTGTTTGATAGCCTGTTATACTGCGCCTCTTACGACCAAGTTAATTGGAGATGAGCCAACCGTATTGGAGTTGGGGATCAGATTTTCCTAAATGTGATGCACCAAGTGTAGTTCTGCGAGTATGTAAGGACCTTGATGAGTTAAATTCTGTTGTGCAGCAGTTGAGGAATGAGGTTGCAGTATTGCACCGTGAGAAGGGTAAGCTAGAGGAGAGAGTTTTATGCTTGAAAAAGTGTACCAGTCATGCAGACGCGATGGAAGAGTAGGGATGCTGGAGCGGAGAGGAATAAGACTAAGGATGCTGGAGAAGAGAGGAATAAGACTGAGGATGAGGATGCTGGAGAGGAGAGTCAGAAGACTGAGGATGCTGGAGAGAAAAGTGATAAAACTGAGGATGGTGGAGTAGCCGAATCGAGAGAGCAGTGTGTACAAAATGGTAAAGAAGAGGTGCAATATACACCCCCGGATATAAATTGGGATGATCTGAGTGTGGTGTGTGTCACCCTTGTTAAATTTCTTACGAAATCCTCCTCGAAAGATTGACATGTCCACTGTTGAGGGTGAATATGGCGAAGATGTTATAGTTGGGGTCCGGAAAAAGAGGGGTCGAGGAAAGAGTGAGATTCTTGGCCCTGCAATGGATATGTCGGGAGATTCCCAATATTTCGGAGGACACAATTGCTGACCACCTTAGGTCTGTTCCTCATGATTCCCTTTTGGAGGTTGCGAAATTTTGCTGGGAATGGGGAGAAGAAGAAAAGTAAGTTCCCACTGCCCGTCCTTAGTGAAATGTAAATGGTTTATTATGATTAGTTATTGAGTGAATGGTGAAACGGAATTGATACTAATAATGATTCACAAATATAGTTCACATGTGCAGTTATGTGAAGAAGATGGTACGGAAGGTTCCCATAACTTCTTTGTTCGATTGCTGACCAAGGATGGTTGGTTGGATGACTTGGTAAGCATTGATTGATTTGGGATTTTGTCGAAATGCCCATGCTATGTAGTGATTTATTGATTTAATAATGGAAACAATTGTTCTATGTAGAACATAGACATGGCCTTGCTTTTGCTACAGGAGCGGCACGAGAGCTCTGGCAACTAGGTAGGTTCTGACTGGACGATACTGGACACCACTTTTCAGGTTTGTATTATTTCTTAAGCATTGTTTATTTTCAAATTAGGTATCCGTTATGATGCATAACTCGTGTGCCACTATGCAGAAATGTGCTGCCTTGGATTACAAGCAAATGAAGGCATATGTGGGAAATGAGGACAGGCAGCACAGCAAGGGTCTACTGGGAATGGTCAAGGGCGAAGGGCCTAAGTTGGCTAACTCATGGTCATCTGTGAATTGCGTTTGTTTGCCCTTCAACCTACAAAGGCAGAAGCACTAGATCTTACTTGTTGTCGATTTAAAAGAGTGAGATAAGGGCATATGATTCAAAAGTAGATTTGTGCATAACTCAAGCCATCCAACGGGCCGTGCAGCCTGTGGCGAAAATGCTGCCCCGGTTGTTAAAGGAATCTGGATATATTGGTGAAGGTCTACTTCTGAAAATTGAGTGGCCAGTTATTCGCGTCATGGATGCACCACAACAAGTAGGCGGGTGAGTAATATTCCACCTAACCACATTGTCTTATGAAATGGATTTGTTGTACAATGAATCACAACTTCTTCGCTATGTTTCAGGGGCGACTGTGGGATGTACATCCTCAAATACTGCAAGTTTCTGACCTCAAATGTAGACCTGGCCAATCATGACGTCATGCCTTTCTATCGGTTGAAGCTCACTGTACAGTTTTTGCAAGGATATTGGTAGCTGTGATTCACTAAGAGATACTATAATTTACAAAGTTTTTAACTTGGTGGGTGTAGTGTAGTATATGAACTTGCAAAGTTAATTTAACCGGGTGGGCAATTTTTTTGGTAACAGACCTTATATCACGAGTTACAAAACAAACATTTGTATAATAATAAAAGGGAAGCTTGAAGAGCTTTCTTCGCATGCTTGAGCGCATCTTTCCCCTTTCTATTTTAGTATAGTTTTGAAAAGGTAGTTTTCTTGTTTTTTAAGGAACAAAGTCTTCTTTATGATTCAACTCCCCCTTTTCACTTAAAATTAAGGAATTATTTTTTGTATTTTGTTCAAATACAAGCTGTATGAAACCCTCAACACATATTGTTGACAGTATGCTGAACCCGAACCCTAAAGGGTGCATGATTCTTTTCAAATATCAAATAAATAGTAATGTATCTTCTTTAGGGCAAACACAATTGTGAAGTTAAGATGCAGGCATATGAAATGTTGAAGTTTGTCATTGACTAATTGTGCTAAAGGCGTAATTATATTTCTACATTTCCAAACACGTCTTATATGTAGCTATCCGGATTACAAAATTACAAAACATATACTTAAACCCAAAACATTTCTTACTTTTTCATCAATTTAACAGCCAAATTCAGAAATGATATAACTAACAGCAGTAGGAGGATTTTATGAATGGCCTTCAGTATACGGATTACTTCAGCATATGCATTAAGATCCTTCACATCCACCTGGTTTTGAATGTCAGATTCATTTGGGGTGTTGGCTGCTGTCACCCATTCATAGCCACTACACCTTGTAGCTCCCTATTAAAAAAAAATCAAAACAAAACGAAACTACATTTTTCAGTATGGGATTACAATGTCAGACCATATTCTTTTATCTAGAGCAGTTTCAGTTTGGGATTACTATTTATTATATACAACTTATTCGGTTTTACATACGAGGTTTGGGAAGATTATACTTACATATGTTGTGAAGCACTTCCAATACGGTCTGCCCAGATTCCTTTCGGATTTGGAAATTAGCTTCGCCATCTCAGCATTGCAGTGCTGACACCTCTTTGCTTCAGTGTTTGATGAAGAAATCAACATCGCTTTGCCCAAAGTTGAAAATGAAGAAAACAGAAGAATTATACCCGTCCAAATATTTGGTAAAAACCCCCAAATTAGTTTCCTCCACTTCTGAAAATGAATTGGATTTTATTATTTGGTCGAAACAAATATGGAGTTTGAAGTTTGAATTCACCTTTTTTCGTCCCGACAATCCGTGAGCGGGAAATTCCAAAGTTGAATATTTTTTTATATTTTTAACCCTAATACATGAGCACGAAAATAAAAAGCATTGCTGTGGGGAATTTATAATAATTTTTTTACCCTAAACCGTAGCCTTAAAGGCGTTTATCAAATGAAAATATAAGCAAGACAAAAATTAAAAGGAAAAGGGGCGTGTGGCGGCATGGGAATGTGCCGCGTGTCGCTGAGGTCTGCTGCTCCCCACTCCGGCTCCGCCACTAGGCATTCAGTGTGTATTTTATTCCTTTTTTTCTTTTTCTTTTTTCAGAAAATAAAAAAAAATACAGGAAAATTCAGAAAAAAGGGGGGAAAATTCCTAAGTATGTATCGAGATGAATACTTCGTACTGAAAGTAGAATAACAGATTTTGGTGTGAGGGAAAAATAAAATTAGGGAACAAACCCTAGTGTTGGATGATGCAAATGAAAACACTAGTACACTTTTCAAACCCTATACTCTTATTTGTTCGATCACATTAATTCCGTATGGATATTTATATGATGCGGCCTTTTTCCGGATATTTCATGGAAGGAAATGTCGTCACGAGTGCGGAGGATTTTTTCTAGAATTTTTCCCCCTTCAATTCAATTTTTAAATGAATATTTATTTGGAAATGAATAAAAAATTTGAAAAGGAGTGTGTGGCGGCATGGGAATGCGCCATGTGTCGCTGAGGTCTGCTGCTCCCCACTCCGGCTCAGCCACTTGGCATTCCGTGTGTATTTTATTCCTTTTTTTTTCTTCAGAAAATCGTAAATAATACAAGAAAATTCAGAAAAAAGGGGGAAAAATTCCTAAGTATGTATTGGGATGAATACTTCGCACTAAAAGTAGAACAACGGATTTTGGTGTGAGGGAAAAATAAAATTAGGGAACAAACCCTAGTGTTGGATGATGCAAATGAAAACACTAGTACACTTTTCAAACCCTATACTCTTATTTGTTCGATCACATTAATTCCGTATGGATATTTATATGACACGGCCTTTTTCCGAATATTTCATGGAAGGAAATGTCGTCACGAGTGCGGATGATTTTTTCTGGAATTTTCCCCCTTCAATTCGATTTTTAAATGAATATTTATTTGGAAATGAATAAAAAATTTGAAAAGCGATGTGTGGCGGCATGGGAATGCGCCGCATGTCGCTGAGGTCTGCTACTCCCTCACTTCAGCTCTTGCCATTCTTGTGTATTTTTTTTTTTTTATTTTTTTTTTTTTTTTTTTTTTTTTTGAAAATCGTAAAAAATACAGTAAAATTCAGAAAAAAAGGAGGAAAATTCCTAAGTATGTATCGGGATGAATACTCCGTAAGGAGTTTTGACTTATACTTCTCAAGGAGTTTTTGGTTAAATACGCTATTTAAATCACTTCTCAAGGAGTTTTTGACTTATACTTCTCAAGGAATTTTGTATTTTTTCTGTTGTTGCAACAATCGTAAACATTGCATGACAAATTCCGAATGTGAAGGGGAAAAACCCAACACTTATTTCCCCCCTTAAATTTGATATTTAAATCATTATGTTAGTGAAAATAGAATTTCGGATTTCTTTTTTAAACTTTTTTTTATCTTTGAAATATATTTTCAAATGCAGGACAAATCAGGAAATGTTGGGAAAGTGAAAACGTAATTAAAGAATCACCAGAGTATCTTAGAAGATCAAGGATGGCTCATACCCGGTCTGACTGAAAGGATAATCCCTCATACGTTGACAACACGCAACCTCCCTGGCATTTTGGTGTCTGTCAACTTCAACGAATAACTGCTTCGGGAATAGGAACCAGCAATTCCCCATTTCAGAACACATAGTCAAACCATAGGACCCAAAACCATCCAAAACATATGCACGCAAGCTAAAAAGGTCTATGGAACACAAACGTCTACAAACCTGTATTGAAATTGGATCTTAAAAGTGCACCGATTACAAAAATAGACCTTCAAACCATAAACAGGACTTAAAACCACAAATGTCTACAACATTACCATAAACAGACCTTGAATTAAAAACATTAAACAGAAGGTAAACTTCCCCTGTAAATAAAACCAAACGAAACCCAAAACACACTTTAATACCCATATCATACCATGGATATTTAATTTATTAAATCCAACATGTCTCCCCACGGAGTCTGCGCTCAAAGCAGTACAACTCCCTCTTCCATTTGCAGGGTTCACAGCAGTTCCAGGTAGATACCGTGTCAAAGTAGTCGCCCTCCCAGCCAGTCCCATTGGAATGTGAAATACCACTCCCGATTACCCACACAGTTAACACCCTCACAGTTAATGCGGGTAAGAATAAAATTTCTATCAGCAGTAAACTTTGCAAGAGTTGGAGGAGTCGCCACGCCGGAAATGGTATACCTCATCAGTAGATTAAAAAATGATGCCCTGCATGCTTGCATGTCAATTTTCTTCATTTTTCTTAGATGGCACAACCATTTCATCGCATCCTTTTCACCCTCCGTAGGGTTCACCAGCCTTAGCAAGCCAACAATGTTGGAGGATTCCATATGCTCTGCCTTAGCCGCCACCCGGAAGTTGTTGACAGCCTCATCATCTTTGAATATGAAGAATTGTGTTACAGCTTCTTTGTAAATGATTTTTGGATTGCTGTGTTCCTTGCACTTTTGCAAGAACTCAACAAGTTTCTCTTGATCAAACCTGTACCATTCAGGATGCCACTGGTACTTCTCTACAGACACGGTTTGCCAAACCTCAGGATCATTTAGCATTTCTTCAAATAACTTGCATGTCCCCGCCATGCTGTACAGATCTTCAGAGGAGTGCTTTGCAACCAAAAGTAGCACCTTAAACCATGCTTCGGCTGGAATGTCTATCTGGGTTGTTGGAGAAGAGGGAGTGCAAAAGGTATGTGGAGGAATGATGAACGGTGTGTCTAGACAAATGAGGAAGAAAGGTATATATTGGAACGAACCGTCGTCACCTAAACTATAGACGAAGACAACATTGGGTTTAGATAATGTATTATTGGCTTCGTTTCCCAATCGGTGTGACTGAAAGGACAGGTCACACACCTCGATGATCTAGGTTTTGGCGGTAAATTGGTCTTCTCGCGGCTCCATGCCTAGGTACACCTCGTGCGTGTTCGCATTTATGATACTACTAATCAATGTCAGCAGTCAAAAAATTAAATATACTTTTTATGATAATGATTATGCAAATATCACATCGCTACTTATGGAGGTAAAATTCATTGCATGTGAATAATTTAACAGCCAAATATGAAACAAAATATCATATCAACGCACGATTAACAGTATAGAAAATGAAAGTAGTGTTTATGACATCACCAGTTAAGAAGGTAATCTGAATTTAACATGAGCAAGTAAACAATTTCATCTTCTAAAATATGATACTAAATATGAACGCACCATTAACAGTAAAGAAAATGACAACAGTGTTTTATGACATCACCAGTTATGAAGGTAATCTGAATTGAACATGAGCAAGTAAACAATTTCATCTTCTGAAATACGATACTAAATATGAACTCATATCACCAGTAAAAAAACAAAAATGTGCTTGTGGTACTTATAATGCAAATATCACATCACAAGTTGTGAAGGTAACTTACATTTGAACATGAGCAACTCAACAGTTTCATCTTCGCAAATATGATACTAAATACGAAGGGTAAAGAATATTAAAATATTGTATATAATACAAATAATGCAAATATGACATCACCAGTTCTCAAGGTAACTAAAGTTGCAGCTCCCCACTCGAAGTCAACATTGGCATTTTGGCGGGTAAAATGAAAATGGGGATTGCTCTATAAATACCAATGTAAGAGTATTTTACCTCCCATTGCACCTCCACTTGCTCCAAACAAGCCTAAACTCAGAATGGGTTCCCCTCCAAAAATCCCCCATATTTATAACAACTCCAGCAAAAAATGCAGAACCTTTGTCACAGAGGAATAATAAAGCTGAAGATGTTGCTGATGGAGCTGCGAAATCCATAAAATTTTCATCTGAGGACCACGATGATGTAGCTCGGATCGGCAAGATGAGCTATGATGCGTTGATCATGGAAATCAAACGCTTGAAGATACGTCTAAGATGGTATGAAGAAACATTGGGGAAGGAGAAAAAGAAAGCAAATTCCACCTTCGATCAGTCCAAAGAATGAAAGTGAGGATTTGGCTTGCGAAAGGAAAAGGTGTTTGAAGGGTTAGTACTTCGAATGAGTCTGTGCAGATGAGGAAAGCAGAAGCACGCAAAGGGTTTGACCTGCTCCGCGAGTTTGCAAGATGTGTTGTCCCAAGCTACAATTGGGACGGGATCGCCATGGAGTAAACCGTCCTTGGATAAAGTTCATTTCGGGGGTTGTCAGTATTTTGTTCGGAACAAATGTGTGGTTCATTTTGAGTACATTTTTGGCCTTTTGTGTGGGCTCCTGAAGGTGTAAAAATTGTGGTTTGAAATGTTCATAGTTCTTAGGTAATGTATCCAACTGTAAGATGTGAAGGACAACTGTAAGCAAATGGGGAAACTATTTTCAATTTTTTAAGCGTACTTCTGTCTACATAAGTTGTTGTGCTTTTATGAAGTTTGTTTATATTATTTTCTGATCACATATTTCTTTGTGTTATTTTATAACGCCTAAAAGGCAAGGAATAAAAATAACAGAGGTGAATTTGTTGATAATCCAAGTATTTATTTCGCATAGTAATCAAGTAATGAAGGGTTGGCTTTATCTCGTTCGTTTAGGGATGGCAATGGGTTGAATCGGGGGTGGGTATGCCATTTCCATGGCCCGCCCCATTAGGGAAGAAAAAACCAATTATATAACTACTATGTTGAAAAGAAAAAAGAGCAATAAGACAACATAATGAATATATAGAATACATACTTAGAAGACAATATAACAATGTTTATATATATGTTGGAAGTTAACTAAATAAATAAGTATTGTGGCTTAAGATAATCTACTAATATAAAATATAAAACTTAGTCGATACTCTGTATGTTCATAGCATATTTATATATGAGGTAAATGCTCTTGTGTGTTTCCATTTTGGGTCATTCGGATAAAATAATGCAGCTATGCAGAAAAATATATTAGTAAATACAGTGCTGAATAAATTTATTTGGAAGTCTGCTTTTGTTTCCCCCTTTTTTAAGTAATTGGGTGAGTTTTGAGGTTTGATTATTTATTTGATCACTTATATGGTAGCTAATTATGTTCATAACTTGGCATTTTAGAGGTTTGCTTATTGGTTTCAAATATATAATTTTAGCAATGAAATAACAAGAACCATATTGTGTCTGTCAATTGAAAGGAGAAAATATAGAAATATTTTTCCGAATAATTATATATGAAGCAAATGAAACTGATACTTGCGTTCTTATAAATTAGATAATGAACATTAAGGAAGTACACTTCTAATTTTTGCAAAATATAATGTTACGGTTCAAAGGAAAGCAAGTTATAACCATATTCCAAAGATGGAGTGTACACTCTGTATTGTCACATCAAATGAAATTAAGTACAAAATTAAGTTTTCATAATCACTTTGGATGATTTATAGCTTCCCCCAGTTTTGTAACGACACAAGGAGTTGGAAGCAATTTTCCAGGCAATTTTTTTATTTTTCTCCTATTTATTACCATTTTTTTAAAATCTTTTTGCATTACAAAAGTTAAAACATAAAGAAATAACACACATGGCGACAGCTGACCGCATCCCCCTTCAGTAGGTGCACATGTGTACGCCAGTGGCCATTGCCATATCCTTCCTTTCTGTGTGAATTTAGATGAATATGCTATTTTCTTACAAAATTCATAACTAAATATACAAAAATGGGGAAAAAATTTCGCAAATTGCTACGAACTCATTCAAACTTGATAAATCAAAATTCAAGTGTGTGCTAACATTTTACTAATCATGTGAGGCTCCTGTCATTAACTAAATCAAATACTCTGATTTCTTTAAATATATATATATATATTAAAGTGATGGGACAAAAGGAGAAAAAAACAAAATGGAAAACTTCCTTACATAATATATAAACGTTGTTTTATGCCTATGGGCTACTCATGCCTTTCATCTCTCTTTTCTTCTTTCCAGTCGTCTTGTTTGCATACAAACCTTCAGCCAAATCCCCCAATCTGACGATTTTGTCAACATTTCCGCTAGTTCAAGTGGCAAAGCCAATTAGGGGGACTTCGATGGCTCATGGGAATATGCCCCCGATTATTCAAGGTCCCCACCACCACCGCTGCCTCTTCCAACCTCCTCCGCAAGCGAGGGGGACTCCGATGATCTCGTTGTGGAAATAAATGATATGAAGAACAAACTGGAACACAACTCTTCCTTGGTCCATTATTGGACTCAAAAGTGTGTCGATGCTGAGCAGAAGTTGGCTTATTTGACTCGGCAAGTTAAGAAAGCCCGTTACCGAAAAGAGAAGCAGAGAATTCGTGCCCAAAGAAGAAAGCACACAACAGAGGATTTGCATATGACAGAGGAGGATGCTCCGTATGAATCTTTGAGCATCCACAAAGGAGGCGACAACCAAGACCAGGCAATGTCTGTGGCTTTCAACCAAGGTTTTGAGAAATTCCGACGGTTCACTGCAAATGTCCACAAAGATATTGACTAATGTCCACAAAGATATTGACTGGGATGCCATAACCCCGTCTGCTACACAGGAAATCATCTCCAGCGGTGCACACCCAACAGAGCAAGGCCACCAACCAGCAAAAGGCAACGATAATGACTGGTAATAGCTATATCAATCCGTACGCAATCCCTTAGTAGTTGTTTGTTTTTGTTAATGCTCGATCTAGGTTAGTGTTTAAATGTGTATGCCCGATCTAGGTTAGTGTTTAAATGTGAATGCCCGACCATGCTTACTGTTTTAATGCCTGATCATGCTTACGTGTAGCTTATTATTTCGTTTTACACTACTATCAAACCTAGAGTTCAATCACAGTTCGATCACTAACTTCCGGATTAGAAGCATTCATTTCGTGATAGTGCTCACAATTTTTTGTTTAATTTATTGTCGGTGGGGAGACAATTTGTTTCAAGATTCTCTACATAGATATTCATTGGTTGAGACTTTACAGAGACATAGTGATTATTTCAAGATTCTCTTACTGACACATAGTCATGGTTTCAAGATTCCCTTCGATCTTTTCAAATTCATTGCAACCATTGCAAATTTGTGTAGAAAACCCCTTGCATGATTCCCCCAAACTCGTTCTCCTTCAAAGAAGGCTTCAGGTTCTAAAAATCCCAAACCCCAGAGGACATCTGGGACATCAACCTTCAACAAAAGATGGATTCGAAACTTCAAGTTACGCATTGAAAGCATGGTGTCGTTCACGACCAAAAAATATGTAAATCGGTATCAATAAATGTTAAAACTCCGGGACCATAAATGAAATCAAACTCTTCCAGATAGTTATGTGTTTAATAATAAACCATAGTTCAGTATCAATGGACATGAGGCATTTACCTAAGATTCACTAAAGCTTCTAGATATTTTTAAAAACATGTAAATAAGTATCAATAAGTGCTCAAACTACGGGACCATACATGAAATCAAACTCTTGCATAAATGACTCTGTCATAGTAGGTTCACTGTCCTGCGTGCTCTGAGTGGGCTGCAAATTCTCACAAACTGGACCACCAAGTTCTGTGTCAGAAGATGAAGAGCTGCCACATCGGAAAAAAAAATAATAATAACATCAACAACATAAATTTCAAAGCACAATATAACACATATTCACTTACAGGCTCGCAAGTTTTGGACAACTCCGTCTATCATGATCAGTCTTCCTACATTCAGTGCACCGACGTTTATGTCGTTGCGCTGCCTTCTTTTTTTCTCCTTTAACTCTTTTCGCACGCCCTTTTACTTTCACTCGATGTGGATCTTTGATTCTGAGTTGGGGATAACTAATTCCGACATCTCCATTGGGTTCTTCGACATGAGCTCTTGATGACACCAACGTTGTAAGCTTCCCACGAATGTCCTCAAAAGATTTTTCCAGCAACTCAAAACCTTCATCACACAACAAAGCCGAATCAATCAACTCACTTGCAACTTTGCAAACTTTCTCTTAACCAAAAGCAAACCATCAACGCAATCGTTAACTTCTTTGTGATTTTTATCATATATTACACCGCTTTTCGCACTTTGAAGCCATTGTTTCAATATGTACTTGTCTGGTAAGTGCTCAACCTGCTTCATTCTTAAGAATGCTAGGATGTGTCGGCACAGAATACCCCAAAATTCAAAACCTTTGCAGCTGCAATAAGCTTTATCGGCATCTTTATCATGCACAAGCTCCTTCATCCGTGTCACCCCTGGATTTACCCGCTCACTCACTTTGTATCTGCAGTGCGTCTCATCTTCGTCTACAAGTTCGAACAAGCATAAAAGACTTCTGAAGTCTTCCCTCTCAAACATTTCCAGAATTTCCTGAGTGTAAATGCGTCCCATTTGATGTTGCATTGGTGTTTAAAATGCAGTGGAGGTTTTTCATTGTAATCAACATGATCAGCCATTAACTCCTTGCGTCTTTGTGAAGCAAGAGCTTTCTCAAAACGTACAATGAATTCCATTGATGTATTTTTGCGGTTTATATATTGTTTGAAAAATGAATGACAGCTTTCGGCCCGTTGATTACTTGACATCCCAGCCGAAAACACATGTTTTACATATGATGGAACCCAATTCTCCCGCATAGCATGAATTGAGCTCAGCCATGCATGGTCTTGCAGCCCATTGTTTGTGATGATTTCCTCCCATTTCGCATCAAATTCTTCTTTCTTGTCCATACCCCATATGCATTTGTTCATTTCCGAAAAAACATTCTCCAATGTCGGGTTTCTCTGTAATCTTATTCAAGATATGCCATATGCAATATCTATGGAATGTTGTCAGGAAAGTTACAGCAATTGCCTTTGACATGGCTGCATCTTGATCAGTGATGATCATTTTGGGTGGCTCACCCGGCATGGCTTTCTTGAATTCCTCTAATAACCATACAAATGAATCTGTGGTTTCACTAGTTAGAAATGCACAATCAAACAACACTGTTTGCTGATGGTTATTAATGCCTAACAAAGGTGCAAAGACCATCCCATAGCTGTTCGTGTTGAACGTCGTATCAAATACCACCACATCTCCACAAAAAAACCCATAAGCTCGTCTTGACCTTGCATCTGACCATAAAATATTACACATCCTTCCTTCCGAATCTACCTCCATCTTGAAATAAAAGGATTCATTCTTTTCTTGCATAGCCATAAAATGCTCCTTAAGCAGCTCTGCATCATGGCCAATCACCTCTCCACGCACGTCCCTTAGATAATTATAGACATCTCTCTTAATAAACCCAACATTTTCCAATCCCCCTACTTGCACCTCAAGAAGGCTTAACTGTATGTACCGGAATATTAACTTTGCTCATATCTGCACTATAGGCCTTTGTAGACTCTGTTAAGTTACGGTGAGATCTCAATAGATGGACTTTATCAACTGTGGTCATGTCATGGTTGTGTACCTCATTGAATCCTACAACAATGTACTTATTCTTGTCTTTCATCTTCAATATCGCAAGTTTAGCCTTGCAACCAGTTCGAGTACAACCTCGCCGCCTTCTCTTATGACTAACAGTGTTTGTCAACGCATACCCTTGTTTACAAAATACATATTCCTTCCTTGTTACCTCTCCTGTCATTGTGCACATCCTCGTTGTAGAACACCGAATGCCGAACCCGGCTTCCGCAGCATACATATTATACAAATTGAACATATCGTCACAGCAATGAAATTCAAGTCCCAATTTTGGTTTCAACTTCGACCTTACTTCCGATGTCACATGTCCTTCACACTCCATTGCACAGTTCTTGCAATTTAACCCTGAATTCACCACCATCATACCAACATTGGCTCATGCTTTCAAAGAGCTTTAAAATATATATATTAACTAACATATGATATGAAAATGATTCCCTGGTGAAATAATAAAGACTTACATACAAACTAATGTAACTCATGCTTATGCCCAATAATAAACTTGACACATACAATGTAAAGAGCTTCAAAATATATATATATATATTAACTAACATATGATATGAAAATGACTCTCTGGTGAAATATTCAAGACCAACATACAAAATTATGTAACTGATGCTTATGCCCAATAATAAACTTGACAAATACAGTATAAAGATCTTTAAAATATATACGTTAACTAACATATGATACGAAAATGATTCTCTGGTGAAATATTAAAGACCTACATACAAACTAATGTAACTCATGCTTATGTCCAATAATAAACTTGACAAATACAGTATATCACTTACCTCGTGAGTCATTTCCAACTTCAAAATTTCTACAAATATGACAATGTTGCCATTTTAGATCTGGACGTCAACCCCAAACATTTTTCTTCTTCCTCAACCCCTGTTTCGACCGTGCTCAACGATTTCAAAACCAAGAGAACAACACAACAGTCGCGGTCACCAGTTTCCAACTCAAGACGTTGGTCAAGGATTGACGAATGTGCCGACCAGAAAGACCGAACCACAAAGATGATAATATAAAATGAATAAACACTTTCTTTCGCCTGAATGAGAAACCCAGACAAATGAGGGCTAATACTTCTGTGTTCTTCCTAGAATCAAATAAGGAATAACAGGGGCTCTCTCTCTCTTCAGGGTTATTGGTCTTGCTCAATCAAAGCTGATAAAAAAATTGGCCACCTTGAACAAAATGAATAGCTGGATTAGAGGAGACGTCTGTTTTGGAGGGGACGTCTGTTTCTGACTCGACGTTTTGGCGGGAGGAGAGAGAAGAAGGCGTCGTTCTAATACAACACTTAACACTTACAATTGATTTTGATGCAACCGTTAGGTTAGATCCAACGGTGTTCTCACGTAACGTTCGCACATAAGCGTTCTCATCTGATCCAATTCGAAAGAGAAAAGGGAGTGGGTGTTGGTGAATTATGGGATATAGTAAATTCTGGGCAGCTTTATGGCCTTCTGTCACTTCAGATTTTAAAGAGCATTCTTACTCCACTATATTGAGGAATATGGCTGCTGATGTGATGTGAAGTGTATTTTTTGCGACTTGTTTCCTTTGGGTCTTTCTGGTGTAGCCCAATCTTCTTTATACCAACTTTGTTCTGTTGCTTACTTGCCCTCTTGTAAGTTCGGCTTCAATCTCTCTTTCAGGCATCAATATTAATTTAAAATAAAAAATCTTTGAGGAACCTTTTTTTTCGTGATTTTTGTTGAACCGTATGTAATAAAATACATCAAACTGTTGCATTTTATGGATGACCCAGGTAGTCGTATTATGAAGCAACACTGACTGATTTTAAATAGTTTAAAATTGAAATGATTATCAAATTGGCCCTCAATTTTTCCTTTTCAAGTAAGCTTTTGATCTTACACTCCTGCAAATTCCTCACAAGGCCTTAAAAATTTTAGGCTCAAGAGTTTTTGTTTTTTGTTTACATCATTGTTATTTACATTTATCTATATAATATAAAAAAACTAAAAAATACACAAGAAAAAAAAAAAAAAATATTAATGTCTCATTTTCAAGTTGAAAAGTAATGGAACCCAAATCAAGATTTTCTCATTTTCGGGTTCATCACTTAACCGTGTCCTGTTGTGTCAAGAATTGTCACTATTGCTGTTATTTTATACCATGCAATGCAAGATGGACTGCTTATGCTCATGGACATTTTCAGAATGTGCAATGATTCTGACAATTCACAGATTGCTAGTGCAGTAAAATCTAACCGTAAAGAAAGGAATATATTCATAACAAAATCAATATATATATATATTTTTTAGTACAAGCGATAGTCTAAATTACAAGAGAGGAGGATTTCTCACACACACAACTATGATGCCATTGGGGTTCGAACTTAAGACCTCTAGTCTGCAAGTCAATGCCATTTTTCACTGGGCTTGACTCCATTGGGAACAAAATCAATATTCAATAGAATAATAGCACACAATTTATTGCTGAAAATCACGGGAGAAGCTAAACAATATTAATTGTAATACCATTATCTAACCAAGTAAACGGACATAAGTTAGAACTGCTGGGAAAACCCTATTCTTTTCTAGATAAACTTTATAGAACTTTACTCAAGGCCAAAACATTCTAACACGTCTAACTTCTTTACAAGGTTTCTTTTTCATCTTACCCTTTACATGGTATCTAAGGGAAAATGTTTTCTGGCTAAAGATACAGGTAGATATTTGAGGTTCGAATGGACATCCCAACAAGAAGCGGCCAAATTAGTTCACACTTGCCTTTACGTCAAAGCAGCATCCGATCGCAGTTTGGGAATAATCTGCAAGTCTTCAAGACAGTCAGCGACAATTACATGAACAGATAAATTAATCAGATAAATCATCTTCAGCACCACTATATTCATCAATATCTTGGTGTCGTGAAATTTTCCGTGGTCTTTCAAGGGTATCTTCAACATCAAAGCGTCTTGTTTTCAAATTTGACACAGATCCCCTTGAATAATCCTGAAAGCAGCAAGCCAATTATGTGTATATGCAATTATTCAAATCATTTGATGACTAAAACCGCATACCAAAGGAATTTAAATTTCAACAAATAGCTTATCGTCATACCCCTGAATCCTTTAGTTCAATTGCAGCAACAGTTGATCTCTGCCTGACAGTCACTCTTGAGGGTGCAGGAAAATGCTCAACCTCATCACTGGTTTTTCCCTCTTTGGACCTCTTTTTCCTTAAGACAAGCTTTGTGGGAAGGGGCTGCATTGTGAATGGAAAATTTATAAAGGATAATCTTGATGAGTTGTTACTCAAAACAAAACCAAAAAACAGAAGCAAAGAGCAATTAATAAATGCACACGTAATAAAGATAAAAATATCAATTCTAAGGGATACCGCATAGCGTGCTTCTTCTTCATCAAATGAAACAAGGTATGTTGTGGGATCATGCACATCATCACCTCTTACCTGTTGAGACATCAAAAGGAATATCATTAAATAAGCAATCAAAAGCTAACTTAATAACTTCTCAAAACCATGGGGATGGTACATACATCGTAATGATACTCGCGAACCCAAGAATAAGAAACATCTTCAGATTCATCATAAGGATCTTTTGATAGCTGCCACCATTGAAATAAATAGTATATGAGCCATGAGATCAGCCTATAACTGTTAATGCCAATCTTCAGATTTAGAAGTCAAAAAAAGCATGTCTACCTCATTTGGCGAAGGGACCATATAAGCCAAAAATTTCTCCGGATTAGCTGGATCTGCGCCTGTTACCTTGTAACTTTTCATAATGGCCTGTAATAGATGATGATGGATGAGATCATAACGCACCAGTCGCCACTTATAGGATAATGACAAAATATGAAAATATTCAAGTACAACAATGTATAAGATGCAGACTAAGTTTGATGTAAATGACAATCTAAAAAGCCATCACATATTAAAACTTCTGTGTCAGGCCAACGCATCTTTTGCACATAATATCTACTGTAACACAATGTTTTTCTTCCAAAGCCAGGGTTTCTGACTGAAAAAAGAAAGAAAAAGAAAACATGATATTTGGATATGAACAGATAGTAGAAAGAAAGAAAACATGATATTTGGATATGAACAGATAGTAGAAAGAAAGGAGTAGCATTATTGGCAGTTCTTTTTTGCCAATTCACATGGAAGGTGGATTCGGATAAACTATAAGTAAAAAGAAAAAGAGCCGCTCAATCTACAGATACATTCAATTTGAGAGTAGAACGGCCAGGAAAAATTAACATAAAGAACATAGATAAGAAAGGTTCAACTTCATGTAAACCTAGGGATATGTGTTGTGGGATGACATGATTACCTAATACAGAGGCAATTCTTTAAATTATTTTCCTAACCGAAATGAAAACTTGATTAGTAAATTGCAACAATTCAACACATACTTAAGGTAAAATTCATGCAATCAAGGGATAAAGGCAACTCTTAAATTATTTCCCACTAAATGAATAAGCACCATCTAACACACACTAACAGACAATGAAGGAATACTGCTTCAATTATGGGTATAGTTGGATACAGATTATTTTAGCTCTTTTGTTTGTTTTCCAAACCTTTCACCTAAATCAATTCAAGCAATTTTGATGGTCGTCTATTTGTTTTTTGGATTCAATTCTAGTTCACTTTTTGGGGCTTTCACTTGTTATTATAATGTGAAGCAGGCTGCAGAATCCAGAAATGAAGATTTTCTTTAAATTGAAGGTTTGAGAATCTGATTTTATTTGACCCCAAAAAAAAAGAGAATCTAAATTTATGACCATAACTGGTTGCATGCATCCCAACTCACTCTTGATTCATAAGCGTCATGACCGGACTGGTCCAATTTGCTGTAGATTTCTGAATCAGCAGTAGGAGCACCATCAAATGCTGCAAGGACAAATTGGTCTTCATACCTGTTACAAAAGTATCATCAATAACAGCCCCAAGTTAATGTGCGAATATTCTAGAATGCAATATGATTGCCATAAATAAATGTTTTAGGTTTTCAATTAACCAGCCACCAGCATAATTGGTCATCATTGAAAAATATCTATAATCTGCATGCATGCATGCTCATGCATGAATATAGATGATTTTGATTTCAAAATGTCTGGACTCTGAAATAACAAGCTTTTCATGAGAGCTCAAGCTTGACTTCAGCCATAAGCCATTGCCACTACGTATAATAAATTTACTAATTAAGATAAGCACATAACGGGCTTGTGTACGAAAGACTAAAGTAATAAATGTTTGTCTTATTTAAACAGAAAATCAATACTCCATACCGCTCAAAATCAGGCAACAGAGGTAGAACCTCAACAGGGTATAAATTCTTATTGGTTGCATGAAC